AAAAAAAAAAAAAAAAAAAAAAGACAACAAGTGAAACTAAGTTCCTTCACTGGAACAAACTATATTAAGCCGATCTCTGTTCTAACACAGACATCAAAGAAACAAAAAAAAAATCTAATAAACGAAGGTTATTTTAATACAAAATAAATAAATAAAAAAGACCAAAGAGTTTTATGCATTCTCGAAAAAGAACTCAACCTATCACGGAAAACTGAAAGACCCACCAATATCAGTAGTCCCAGCCGGTGGATTAACAGCAACCCAAAGAAGAGATATAGTAATCGCCACAAGACCAGACCAAACATAAACAATCGTCGGCGTCCTCCCTCTCCTCCCCATCAACCCTTTAGCAAAAGGATAAAGATGAGCCAAAACCCAAAAGCTAAAAAACACTCCTCCTATCAACTTACTCCACTGAGGTATCACCGCATATATCGTCCTACTAAACCCCACCGCAATAGCTATCAAATTCACCATCATAATCGTTATCGGTGGGATCATTAGCGAAGTCCATTTCACCATATACAAATCCGCAAACTCATCGTCAACATCATCACCACCCGACTTCGAAGTAAGCGTGAAAGAGATCTCAACACCAGCAACAACCTTAAGCAAACCTTGAAGAACCGCTGCGAGATGAGCGCTCGTTCCACCAATGAGCCAAAACTGCTCGTTTCTCCACCATTCTTCCAACGAGATCCCCGACCATTTGATCTCGAGCAACGCGAGTAAGCAGAGAGTGATGGAGATTGTGAGAAGGTAGATAAGGAACGTCACGTTAAGCGTCTGGACAATGAACTGACCAGAGAAGAGAGATAACGCTGGAAGGAAGCAGTAGACAATAAGGAAGATGGAAGTAAACGGGTAGATACCAACGTTCAAGTAAGCAATCCTCTGAAGAAACTTCATTTTCGGGCTAGCGAGAAGCGCGTTGTTACGCGAAAAAAAGATCTCAACAGAGCCAGTAGCCCAACGTAGAACCTGATGAAGCCTATCGGTCAAGTTAATAGGTGCAGTGCCACGAAAAGCGTCACGTTTGGTCACGCAGTAAACCGACTTCCAACCACGGTTATGCATTCTATAACCGGTGACAACGTCTTCAGTAACTGAACCGTAGATCCAACCGATACGTGTCCCCCACTCGGTTTTATCCTCGTACCAACATGAGATAACAGCGATAGCTTCAGCTACTGTTGACGCATCGAGAAGCATCCGTGGCCTGGTGAGTAAACCGGGTGGGCGCCCGTTTTGAATAGATGTATGATCCATTAAAGGCCTGCCTTGGAGCTCAGCGATTGGTACTGACTTCATAAGTAACGTCGAGTTACCAAACTTCTTGGGGATTAAATAGAGGTCCATCTTTTTGAGACTCATCTCATCGTCGTCGTCGTCATCGTCCTCCTCCATACGTAGAGCTTGGTTCTCTTCAGGGAGATGACTCTTCTTCTTACGACGAGGGAAACAACAACTAAACCAACTAGAGGAATGTTCTTTGAACCGAGGCGGAGAAAACCCGTAAAGAGCTATTCTTCTGAAGAGACACCCGGTTCCAACGTAAACCGGGCCCATAAGCCCATCTAGAGCTCTCATGTTGACGTCAAAGAAGACAGTGTTGTGGTTAGCGTAACGATCAGACGGGTCAATACCTTCGAAACGTTGCGGGAACTGAACATAGCAAAGACGGTCTCCTCCTCGGTCCATCATGAAGCACATACCTTCCCTCATTGCCTCGGAGTTGTATATGTAATGGTCACAGTCTAAGTTGAGTATGAAAGCTCCGTTTGACATGACCGCTGAGGCTCTTACTAGTGCGTTCATGGCTCCTGCTTTCTTGTTGTGGTCATAACCAGGACGCTTCTCACGAGAGACGTAAACGAGGAGGGGAAGTCGAATGTCCACATCGGTTAAGTCAAGAAAGCCTTCGGATACTCCATGTAATGGCTCATCACTCGGTGGCTTCAACATCACCTGCATGCCAAAACAAAAATAAAACACTGAGATGTTGGAAAGTGACTTAGTCCATTGTCTGAAACTGTCATGGACATATTATCCAAAACCCGAACCGAAGGAACCCGAAACTAAAAATCCAAACCGTTCCTATTTTTCTAAATCTAAAAAACCGAAACCAAACCAGAACCAAACCGAAAACCAAACAATACCCGAATATTCTAAATATTAATTATTTATACTTTAAAAAAAAATTATATCTAAAAAATATAATTTATAAATTTATTATTTAAAAAATGAAGTACACAGGATATTTTTCAGGTTTTAAACCCAAACCCAAAATAACCCAAAACCGAATAATCCGAACCGGAAAACCCGAATGCCTAGCACTAGTCTGAAATCTGACAAGGAAGAAAGTTAAATACCTGAATGATACCAGCGTGGTCACCTTTAGAGTGGTCATCAGTACCAGGAGTCAACCAAGTACCAGGCCAGTGAGTACCATCAGCCATCCAAGTAGCTTTAGGAATCTTAACAGGCTTTAAAAGCTCCTCATCTATGTTCTGTGACTTCTGTCTCTGCGTCTTCATAGCTTTAATCTCTTCTCTAGCATGATAAGCATCAGAACGTCTCCTTATGGAATCAGGCAAGCCATTAATCCTAACTTTAAACTCATCATACTCACGCTTAACCTTTCTCCTATCCTTGACAAAATCAGACTTGACTTTGTTCCTGTAAGGATCTCTCTTTAGGCTAAAGTAAGACTCTGGATTCCTCGGCTCAATCATATGTTTACGGCAAAAAGGAACCCAAATGTTAGCAAAGCTAGCAGCTTCAGCCATGGCTTCAAACGTGAGAAGCGCTCCTCCATCATCGGATACATAGCAAGAAAGCTTCTCAACAGGATACTCAGCAGCAAGAATGGATAAAATGGTGTTGGCAGTGACTAGAGGAGGCTCTTTCTCGGGATCAGCAGTTGAGACAAAGACATCGAGACCAGGGAGGTCGGATTTTCCAGTGGGGTTATCGTGTGAAGGAGTTTCGAACTTCTCCTTGAGGACTTGAAGATCGGTTGCACGGTTAATGGGACATAGCTTAGGAAGCTGATCAAGAAGCCAAGAAAAGGCGAACCAAAGCTCACAAACTACAGACATTCCCCATAACCATATAGCGTCTTGGTTTTGATGCTTTATCCTCCATGTCAAGAACAGTGCAAGAACAACTACACGGATAAATATCAATAGCCTGCAGAATAAAAAATATTTCAATTACAAAATGTTCAAGAAATGCTGAGCCGGACTATTCAGAATTTAGTGCTTTGACCAATTATTCATTTATTTTATATATCTATACAAATATTTTAGTTTTATGAGTTTAGTTATTATAAAACTATTTTGATGAATTAATGACTTATCAAAATTAGATATACAAAACAAAACCAAAAAAACAATATGTGAATTTGTACTAACATTATTACTTTATCTAAAAAATTAAAACTAATGTCAATGGATTTAACCTATTTAGAACAGTTTAAAATGATTTAAACCGATTTGAATCGTATAAATCAGATTTAAAAAAAAAAAAAAAGTTTCGACTAGGACTGATTTTGAATTTCTAATCGTTTCAGTTAGAGTAATAAGAAGAAGAAGAAAACAGTTGTTTCTTACCTATATGGACTGATAATAGCAGCAGGAATCTTCAGCTTCCTAGTAAGTGGTCTCCAAGGTTTATTCAGAAAATCTTGCATCTCCACACCTACACCATTTCCATCTCCATCACCACCATCCTTACTACTACTCCCAAAATTCCCATCCTTTGTCCAAAAAGCATTACCATAACCATAAGTCCCATTAGTCGCAAACAACCACTTGTTCTGATCAAAATCACCAGTCTGACTCCTCATAAAAACCGATTTACTAGTTGACTTCATCAAAGACAACCTCCTCTCCATCTTCGACACGCTACTACTACCACCACCACCCTCAGGCCTCTGCTGACCATCATCCTGGTCAGTCAAATCAGTGTTCTTGTACTGTTCTTTACACCCTGGACAAATCCCACGGTTGGTTTTAACCGCATCAACGAAACAGTCTCTACAGATTTTGAAGTCACATTCACAAGGGAGAAGATCTTGTCCTCTCCCATCACTCATAACCTTAGCATCACAACCAGGGATAGCGCAGGAAGAGCCTTTAGCACCAGCCATTTGCGGATGGCTAGTCTCTGTGTCAATGACTTTGTCCATGAGGTGAGCCTTTGTGGCGCTGTTGAAACCTCCAGTGAACATGGAGTTGGAGACGTACTGCTCTTCCACTTTTTGAGATATGGAAGGGTCCATTAACTGGTTGTCTGGAGTTGGAGGGGTGTGAACAAGGTAGTTGGCGTAATCAACACTGCTTAGTTCGCTGTCTAGGTCGTCTCTCGAGTAATTTCGGTAGCGGCCTGAGTTGGTTCTTCGAGTGACGAACGTGACTCTGTTGGGGAGAGATGGTCTCCCTGGCTCGCTGGCGTCAGACATGTTTGATAGATTTGAGCGGCTTTTAGTGAAATGTTTATGTGACGCCATGCTTGCTTTGATAAATCCTCCTGAAGAACACAAAGTAAAAAAAAAAAAAAAAAAAAGAACAAAGAAACAGATTAATCCATGGATCTAAAAAGGTGTCACCTTTAAAGGTAAAGAAGAATATAAAGTTTCAAACTTTTAAATCGAAACCATGAAATGAAAAGAGAGAAAGATGAGATGACGTTCAGACAAAAGAGACTTTCGCAACACAAACTTAAAAGTGAATAAAATATTACAAAACCTATGATTGGTTACAATACCTTACAGAGGAAGAGAGAAAAAGAAGAGACTCAGATCTTGGGGAAGAAGAAAACACTTTGTTTTTGAACAAATCTGTCTTAAGGGTTCAACGTAAATGGAGATGATAGTGAAGGGAAGATGAGGAGTTGTGATCAAAATAGCTAATACACGTAATGAGGATAGCGACTGTATATAAATATATTTATTTCAAAGATCTTAAGAATAGGTGAGACGATGAAGATTTAAGAGAGAGATTGCAGAAACTATGTTAAATATAGAGAGAAAATATAAATCAAAGAGGGAAGATCTCTGGCTCTATTACTGAAGTAGGAAATAAAAATATTTTAGACGCGGAGACAGCGAGGACAGAGGTGGAACGCCGCCGCAGCTGCACACAAATGGGTAGAGGTTTTTCGGACAAGGTGCAAGAATTTTATTTGACTCTTGTTTTATTTATTTTCAACGCGTTTGAAAAATTTCTTAATCTGTTTTTCCATTTTTGTTTCTCTTTCTATTAACTGTACACAGAAAAGAAGTTTCCCTTTCTATTGATTAAAGATACGAAAATATTAATTACCATTAAAATATACTATTTACAGTAAAAAACTCTATAAAGTAATAATAAATTCTATAAACTAATACTACTAGAATTAAGATATTAGATTAATTATAGAATTATTAATTTATAAAAAGTAATTTTTAGATATTTTCTAAAATAAAATTTATATTTGATGTTACTATATGTACATTAACTAAATTTTTGAAATTTATTATTCATATTAGATTTATTCTATTATTTGGTATGTATAAATATGTTACATAGTAATTAAATGTTATTTTAAATATAATTTACTAAATCTCACCAAACTATATTTAGTTTTAAGTAAATATAAAAATAATATCATTATGAATATCAAACAAACAATATTAATGATTTATGTACTATATGAAATATATATATATATATATATATATATATATATATATATATATATGCATAGAAATTATTAATTTCTAATTTTAATGAAATTATATATTTATTTAGAAATTTTTTTAAAAATATTATCTTAATATTTTATCAATTTGTGTTATATTTTGAACTGGTTCAATTTGAGATTGAAAATTTTATTTTTGATAAATTGATAAATATCACACTATAGTTTTTATTTTTGGTCAAATCATACTATAGTTTAAGAGCATCTCCAACCCCACTCCATATTTTACTGCAAAATGGAGTGGAGAATGAAGTAATGAAGAAACAAAAAAGTGATTACTCCAAGTATGGAGTAATGAGATTTTTGTTTCTTCATTACTCCATTCTCCACTCCATTTTGCAGTAAAATATGGAGTGGGGTTGGAGATGCTCTTAGGACACTAATTAGAGGTGAAGTTAAGGACACTAATTAGAGGTGAAGTTTTTTTTTTTTTTTTGAACAAAAGAGGTGAAGTTAATAATCCATCTTGCGCGCCTCGTGCTTTGACAATAAAATTTAGAAAAGGATAAAAGAATGTCGTAGGGGACCAGGTAGGCGATACTTTCGGGACTCAAAAACGTGCAAGCTCACTGAAAAGAACCGATGAGGGTATTTTCGGTATTTAAATTAACAAATACACGGTCGTCACGGGTAGGGCTGGGCATTCGGGGTCCCAATCGGGTTTTGGTTCGGGTTCATTCGGGTTTCGGGTTTTCGGGTTCATGAATTTCAGCCCCATTCGGATATTGTAAAAATTCGGGTCGGATTCGGTTCGGGTTTAATCGGGTTCGGTTCGGATTTAGTAACATGTCCAAAATCCAATTGAACCCGAAATAGTTTCGGTTTCGGATACTTATTGGGTTATCGATTCTAAAAATACTAATTTATACTCAAATAAATTCACTATATTTTCAATCTTTTTATTAAACTGTGTATTTAGCTTCTACAAACCGTATTGTTCTGCTTCTAAATAGTATTATGAAACTCATCTATCAACAATATAAGATTTCTCATTGAACTATATGTGACAACACTAAACATATCATGATTAATGATAAACCAAAGTCTTGTATGACCGAAAATCATACATAATGAAACATAAAAAGTTAAAATTAACAGCTAACAAATATATAAACGTAAGAAGTAATATTGAAAATTTAAAAAACAACATTATTTAAACTTCAAAACAAATTTATTCGTAACTTAACTTCAAATGTAGTGTCAATCATAAACATTAGTAACAGCCAAATAACACTTTATATTAGACTAAATATTTGAGTTAATTATTCATATCATAACTAATTATTATAGGTATTCAATAATATATTAATGTGTTTTGGAAACATATTAGAAATTTAGATTAAGTATGATATACGTTTTTTTGGAATTTTAAAGTTTCGGGTTCTTTCGGATATCCATTTAAGTTCGGGTTCGGTTCGGATAAAACCCATAACCCAAAATACCGTAAAACAAGATCCATTCGGTATTTATGTCGGGTTCGGATCGGTTCGGATTCCTTTTTATCGGGTCGGGTTCGGTTCGGATTTTCGGGTTTCGGTTTTTTTGCCCAGCCCTAGTCACGGGTATCCTATCTATGGTATGATTGGTATTATATGATTTCTTACGTGTGTACACAGCTTTGGTCAAAATAATGTCAATACGTTTTATATTTAAGGGAGGGTGTAACTACTAAACACAGACTAATTCTCAATTTTTAATAGCAATTTTAGTCAAAAACATAACACACACGTAATGCTCAGCTATATGATTTCTTTTAAGTTTAAAATGAATATCCACGTTATCCGTAAAAACGACCTGATAACAACACAAACCATCTCTGGAACACGTCAGCATGGATCGGATATGATTTTTTGTTTTGTTCATGTTACTTGATTTTCAATTAGTATGTTGCTCGATTTTGAAGCTGCATTTCAGACATTAAATCAATGGTGAGATTCATTATATAGAACAAGAATTTCAAAGCATACATATCCAGGGGAATTTCCAGACATGAAAATTGGAGATGGAGTGGTCGATGTTCTTAAGCCAAGAGATGATTCAAAGAACTAGAGGCTGTAGAGTTTGGTCTCCAGCAATCGCATCTGCAAATACTCCTAGATCCTTTCACCACCCGTCGTGACCTCTTCGTGTGAAGCTTGATGTTCACCAGCTTTCCTGCTATCTGTCATTCCAACAAGAACATCATACTTTTCTTTCCTTTTTGATCCAAAAACATCATACTATCGAACAGATGCAACCAGAATCCTTTTGTAGGTACATACCATTCTCCATGTCAAATCCTCTGGACCTAAAGGCTGAGCAGGGCTTGAATATATGAAATGCCGCGAGTACTGGAGAAAAAAAAATGAAAATAACCACACTACTTCAAAGATATAAAGATCCACTAATGCGAGAGAACTACTTATTCGTATATGGAAAGTTATGAAAATAGGTTCATGCCATTTTTAAAACAGAGTTTGGGAAGATGAGAAACAAAGTAAAGACTTACTTGAGCAAGACTATTCTGGTATTCCTTGACTTGGGAGGGCTTAAGGCTTCTCAGATGATTGACAAGCCACCCTGGTTGTATTGCATCACTAGAAGAAAAAATCACAGCAACCTAAGAGAAACAATAAGGGAAAAGAAATTATAAAACATACAGACCTTGTTACATACATAGACAATTTCTCAGAAAATTTAGATCACCATCGTAATAGGGTTTCTTTTGACATACCTTGTTGTAATCAAGTATTCCTTCAAAAGGAAGTTCCAACTCGTCACTGACTATAACAGGTATACAGCCACTAACAATGGCATCAAACAGTCTCGCCGAGGATGGTGTGTCACCAGCAGGACACAAACAGAATAAAGATCTGCTAGAATGGCAAACATAGTTAGAAAACTAAAATGTTATCACTTACAAACTGTTAGGAAGTATCCTAGATTTTACCTACGCATGCCTTCCTGAGCTGCCAATTTCCCTCCCTCTCCGGCAGTACCCTCAGTGATGATTACATCCTTGACACTACTTAATTCTGCACCAAGCTTCGCACGTATTTTACCTCCCTAAAAAACAATTCAGTAAGTCAAAAAATGAGAAACATAATCTATAAAACAGGCAGAGGCATGACTCTTACAGCATTCCTCTTAAGCCGTCCTCTGAAAAAGAGAAGTGTGGTCCTCATCGGTGCACTTTCCGACAAGCATTTTCCATCACATAAATCAACATTAGGAACATAAGGAAGAATCAAGTCTTTCTCCAGTGAAACTTGCCCAGGCTTATACCTACAAAGGTCAAGTTCAAAACAGAATCAACAAAGCTATAGCTAAGAGAGCACACTACATGACTAAAAGCATCTTCAACCCCACTACATATTTTACTGCAACCTGGAGTAACAAAGAAAAAAAAAAAATCATCTAAGAATCACCAGTTCCCAGTAGAGTCCATATCTGGTAAAAGCCAGATTGCATTCTTCACAAATTTGCGAACGGTCTTAAAAGACCAAGGATGGTGAATAGGAAATATATGATCCCTTCCCTCAGATCTTTTCCAAGCAGGCTGATCAGTCACCCACTTCAAAGCTTCCTACAGCCATACAAAACAGTTTAAATTTTTTTTCTAAATGATTATATTATTTATTAACATATAACAATCAAAGCTCACTCACACCCTATATAGTGCTTTGCATTGCTGCTTCTCCAACAAGAAGAAACTGATTGTTGTGAAAAACGGAACATAGTAAAAATCCGCATCCTCCTGCTTATAAACCCTCACAACACTCTTCAAACGCCTCTCGGATTCGGGTGAGATCAGATCAGCCCATAGCCAATAATCAATAGAATGCTGCAATATAGATTAGGATTGGTTTCAACTCAAATCAATCATCAAGCCAAAATTAATGAAGAACACGTGGCAATTTTTAAATTCTCCCACGTGCTAGTAGTAATCTAAACAGTTACCTGTTCGATTAAGCGATGCACAGGGCTACCGTTAGAGGTAGCGTTCGAAGTCTCCTTGTAAGTATTGTGAAACAGCCAGAGAAGATCGAAGGTGAACTTCTTCGGCATCTCGTACACGTAGACCTTAACCGGAGATCCGACCGGGTAAACCGGATCTTCGTTTAACAACCGATTCTCTCTCTCAAACACCTTCTCATCGAGCTTCTTCAGATCTTCATCGTCGTTTTCGCTATGAACCGTGTCATCTCTCGATGGTGAAGTGAGCTTCGGGGACTTGTGGATCAGAAATTGCTCGAGGGAGGCGACGAAGGAGGTCTCGGTTGGGTTCGGAGAGGGAGCGGAGGAAGGGAAGGTGTAGAGGATGAGGAGTAGAGAGAAGGAGGTGATGATGAGTGTGAGGATTAGGGTTTTGGATCTGAATCTGAGGGGAGTACGAGGGTGATTATTCTGCTGTTTTCCAGCCATTGCGAGATCTGATTCTTCCTCTTGTTTACGAGTCGAATGAAAAGAAGATGAGAGTGAAGTGGGAAAAAGTGACGATGCGTTTCTCTTACCGCAATTAAGCCTGCGACTGCGGTTAAAACGCTAAATTGAGAACACAATACATTTAAGAAGATTGTGACATGAATTATGGTTTAGAGTTTTATTTATGATTTTGGTTGGCAATTCGGTTTAGTACAATTGTACAAACACTTATTATATTTTTTTTAACACTTGTTAATTATGCATGCGAAATATTACATAAACAATATTATAGCCGACAATTCTATATGCCTTATATGGATTCACGTCTAACTGCATCACAGACCTGGTGTAGAAACCTTTAGACCTTAACCACTAGGCTACGTAGTTCCACACAAACACTTATTATATATGTATTACACTTATTATATATGTATTGGATCTAATCAATCAAATTAAACCTAATCTTTTAATCTAGTCATCATTTAGATTCTGGTTCTCCAGTTTCATCTCAAATATAAAGTTGAAATCTTTGTGTCAATCATAGCATCTCCTCCATTATAAAACCCAAACACATTAGTCAAGAGAGATCCATAAAACACAACTTACTTACACTGAAACTGTTTTAAAATCACCAATTAAACTGCATAAATTCATAAAAAGAGTTGTTGCTTTCTCTGGAAAGAAACCAGCTCAGAATTTAATGAGATCATCGCTTTTAGACGAAGACTGCTTCTTCGGGTCATCAGTTGAAGAATCACCACCATCACCGCCACTTTTCTTGCCAAATATCATCTCATCAAGATCATCTATCATGTCATCCCCACTCCCACCACTTCCATGGATCCCACCTCGTGCTGAAATCGATGATTTTCTGACCAGAGATTCTTCTTTTCCATGATCTTGTGAGTCATCAGGCTCTTCAGCAACAGGAATCATAGCTGGTTCAGGTGTGGGTAGCGGTGCTGAGGGTTTGTTCATCTCCTCGTACTTGGACAGTGTTTTCACAAGCTCGTCGTTCACATTCAAGGCTTCAAATAGAAGGGCTTCGTCTTCACCTGCTGTTTCGATGATTCTTTGGACAGTGGTTTGAGACTGACGACATTGTTGTACAAGTGTCGTTGTTAAGTCATCCTGAAAAATCAGAGAGATTACAAATAACTTGGTCAATGAGCAACTTGATTAAACATATAGTGGATACAATAGAATTTAACTGAACCCTACTACTTTACCTGTAAAGCATCGTGTTGAGGCGAAGAGGACAGAACAGTGGAAAGAAGTTCAATGCTGTTTCTTGCTATATCGAAAGCTTCCTTTGTTTCCTCTGCGGTAAAGCTTCTTACAGGAGCATTATACTGAACATGTTCACGCACATGCTCATGTTGAGGAGGTTCAGCATTCACTTCTGGTGCTGGAGCTGACCGAGCAGGGGTGAAAATAGGTGCCAAGCTCTCGTTGTCTCGTCCAGGGAAACGGATACCTCTCGCTTTTAAGCTCTATGACATAAAGACAACAACACCAAGAATTGATTATAATCGATCAAAGTCAAATTAGTCAGAAACAATAGTCATGATCTGTAATACATTCGCTAGAAATTTTCTGAAGGCAAACATGCCATTCAATAAGCAAAGCCAATCAAGCCAACTCAATTAAGAAGTGTAAATGGAACCTGCATGGTTGAACTCAGCAGCATTTGTAATGTACCAGGTCATAGTTTACCTTGTAAGTTTCTTCGAAAACTGGTAAGTAGCGAAGTTCACTAGTCGATTCTCCCCAAGCTTCAATCAGTATCAAAGCCTTGTTTCGATTATTCACAACCGTTTGCGGATCATCAATAAGCTTAACCATCTCATCAAGAACTCTCTCAGCTGCCACCTCAGAGAACGCCTTCTCACAGTTCTTAACACACGTCTCAAGCAAAACCAAGGCAAGGTACTGAATCCTCGGCTGCTTCATCATTATCCTCTTCTTTATCCCACGGATCAAATCAACGCTATTAATCGTCTCCTGATTAATCATGTCACATATCTCCAAATTCATATCCCAGTCAGGTTCCTCTAGATTCTCCGTAGTAGCATCCTCGACTATTTTATCAGTTGGGTTCGGACCACCTTGGAAAAGTTCCTTGACTTTGAAGCTCATTGAGCTCATACCAGCAGTGATTTTGTTGCTCACTTCAGAACCTCCAATCTTGAGGCGCTCACCGAAGGCGGTAACTTTGTCCATGAGATTGTCACTCATATTTGCTGATTATCAAACCTGTAAAAGGGAACACACCAGCCTACTCATTCCCAAGATATCAAGAAGTTGCAATTGTACATACATAACAATACAGCAAAAAGCTTTTAACCATGCAATATATTACTTTTTCATAGGTTATATACTCAGTCTCTTGCACCAGATCAAACAGCATAGGCGTATGAAAAGGAAAGTAGAAAACTTTACCAAAACCAAGGAACAAGAAACTATCTAAATGGCCTGATCTAACTTCATTAAGCTACAACAACGGTAGTTGCTGATCATCGATTAAATGGATTTTAACTGGGGGTATCTAATTAGGGTTTGCTGAGAAACCCCAAATCGATTAAAAACGAAATTCGAATAAACGGAACACTGAAAATCATCACTGATCATGATAAACCCAAACACGGAAACGCAGCTCATGGCATCGAAAAGTCCATAACTAGAGCGATCAACACGAGACGGTTACCAAAAACAGCGAAATCGCAACTAGATCTAAACGAATTGTTTTACCTTTGCTAAGTTAAAAGTGATGCGAGGCTTAGAAAATGATGAAATCGATCTAGAAATAAGAAACTGACTAGAAGAGAGGATAACCTACGACAAGTCAATATCGTTGACGCCGGCCAAATTCTCAAGCAATAAGAAGAAGAAGAATGCGTCTCTCTCTCTCTCTTAACTGCTTGGTCGCGAGAATAACTGTATCCCCTCCTTCACGCTAACTCTATTTTTTTATATTTTATTTTCCTGATATCATTTTAATTTTATTTTATTTTAATCTTTTTTATACAGAGAGAAAAAAAACATCTTCAACGCCGTCCTCTCTCTCTCTCTCTCTGGAACTGGTAAGGTTCTTCGATTCTCTTCTTCGTTAGACCATTGATAACCCTAATTTGTTCCCTTTCTTTACTGTAGAAGCTTGATTTAGATTACGAAGAGTTTGATCGCTGTTACTTAGAACGAGTTTTTGGATTCTCAACTGTAATCATTTGCATCCGGTTTATTGTAGAATATAGATACTGACGATGGATATGACGTGGCTGAGTGCTCTAATCGTTGGAGCTGCGCTTGGATTCTGCATTGGCACTCGCCGTTCCAAACATCCTCCTACTGTTGTAGCTGCTGCTGCTGAGGAAAATAGCAAATTGATTGATCCAAAGAGTCCTCTCGAGATTGAGAAACTCGCTGATATCCTCGATGATTTCAAAATGGTAACTTTTACTTGGTTCTCTCTCTCTCTGTCATCTCTTTACTGTAAGCAAAACAAAAGATGTTGATTTTTTTTTTGTTTTTTAATTGTGTATTGTTGTCCTTAAAGGTTTTGGTTGTGAGGAATGATCTTAAAATGGGTAAAGGCAAGATTGCTGCACAATGCAGGTAACTAAACAACAGTTTCAAATTAATAACGGTTTCTCTGTTTGATTTTTTGTTTCACTTCATATCTGATTTGTTTTTTTGCAGTCATGCAACTTTAGGTTTATACAAAAAGCTAGTTCGTCGAGCGCCAAAAGCATTGGACTGGTATCTCTCCATGTCATTATTGAACCTGTTTGTTACTTAACTATGGATTGAATTTGACTGTATTGGTTGCTATTGCAGCTGGGAGGAATGTGCACAGCCAAAAGTTGTTGTGAAAATCGAGGGCGAGGATGAGATGCTAGAATTGCAAGTGAGTTTTTGCTTAAAAAGTTACTGTAAAGTTGGATAGTGTAGTTGAGATTTATATTGGATACACAGCTTTAGTTCTGTTGCCAAATCAGTCTTCTCGGGCTATGCAGGAGTTGCCATATGTTAGTTTCTTGGTATTTTTTGGAATTGGAGACTTCATTGAGGTTGTCTTGAATTTTTCGGTTTCGTAGATCTTGTCTTGACTGTTTACAAAAATATTGACAGGAAAGAGCTAAATCCCTTAAACTGCCTACCCATATTACCATTGATGCTGGAAGGACTCAGATCGCTCCAAGTGAGTTTCATAGTTCATGCCCTCCTCACAAACTTCAAATCCCTTTGTGTTTTCTAGTTAATTATCAGCAAGGAATCTCTTGTGAATCGATCTTAGGACTGTTTTTCTCTGTAAATGGGATTCTAATATAGTTCTTTGTTCTTTTTCAGATTCGAGGACAGTTATGGCTATTCTTGGTAAGTTTTTATTTCTTCATCCAAGTCATGTGTTTGAAGATTAAGACTCTGATGGACAATAGATGAATTTGAGAGTTGCAAATCACACTTGTCTTAGATAACTGCTAAATGTACTAGTTTAATAGTTTAACACTCCTCTGAACATCCGGTGCTTGTCCAAAATATGAAAACGTAAGCTCAAATGTTGACTCACTTAAAAGAGGCTGTATAGTTTTGTGTTGCATCTGAATCTATCTGTGCTGTTCTATCAATCTAGTAAAATTTTGTTTATCGTTTGACATCAACAAACTAACACTGAAAGATGTTTTGCTTCTGCAGGACCAGTCCAAGTTGTTGATGAAGTAACAGGTGGACTAAAACTTCTTTAACAGCTTCAAATTTCTATGTTACATCTCTCAGATGGATCCAAAAGACGGGAGAGACATGAACTCTACCTTCTCTGTGAGAAAATTGAAGTTGTTCTGTTTACTCATTCCTGATGATGACGAAAAATCCCATTTAAAGCAATTTTCCCAACTTTTCATGAACATTTACAAATTGTCTCTTTGGGATCAGATTGATTAACCAATGGTGGTATAAATATTTGCTTCTTCATTTTTTGTATTAGAAAATGGTATGTTCAAATGCCAATTTAGGAGATAGTGTTGGCCTTATTTGAAAAATAACAAATGTACAACAAATCATGGTATGTGATTCTATATTCTAATTCTCTACCAAAAACAAAGAAGCAAAGTAATACAAATCTACAAAAATTTGCTTAAATTATACAATCTACATGGGGTTAGTCTGTAAGCACAGTGATTTTTATCCTTTTCTTTGTCCCTTCAGAAACGTTTTCGAAGTCTGCAGTATCCTTATTTCCCAACCTGTGTAATGTTGGAAACCTGTTAATGTAAATATGAAATAGCACAAAGAAAGCAAGTATAAGGAGACAACTAGAGGAAGCAAAAAAGAACCTCTTGTGTTATTGATTTCTGGTTGTGTACCTATCATAGCCAGCTTAGTGTTATGGCCGACCTGTGCTTGAAACAGATGCAGATAAACCTGTCGTGTCACTATTGTTCATCCAGTTGAGAGGATCTACACACTTTAAAAAAACGTAGAAACAAATTTTTATCCTCACATCACAAGATCTAAATCGAAACTATAATTACTGTTTCAATAAATCATGAACATACCGCTTAAGGTTCACACTGTTTTGTGGAATGCATAGAGAGGGAATCATCACCAGTAACCTTTGCAAGAACACATTCCATTTTTGAAATGATGGAAGCGACTCGAGTCCCTCAATATAATCTCATGATCAATGATTCTAGAGATGTATGTGAACGCAGTATGGCAATCGCCACACACCCTTAAATTCTTAGTAATCCTGATAGCTGCACCTTGGGAAGTTGTCAGAATACCGTATGCAAGAGCTAATTTCTCACTGTGCTCCAAAAGTAGATCACCCTTCTCTTCATCGTCTACATCATGCAGAGCAAAGTCTTTCTCAGGAACATAACCAATGTCCTTAATCCGTTGCATATGATCTGAGAGAACTTGGTATATCTCATTAGCTCGTGGATGTGTTTTATCACCCACAAAGAACGTAGTGGTTCCTTTACTTCCTTCAACCCAACTACAACCAGGTCTTTTTTTAACTCCTTTATGTCTCATCAAAGATCTGACCCTAGCCACATCTTTCCAACGCCCTGCATTTGCGTATATATTCGAGAGCAACGTATATGATCCATCGTTATTAGATGCTAACTCTGTTATTTTCTTTGCAGCGTACTCCCCGAGTTCAACTTTTCCATGGATTCTACAACAACTGAGCAAAGCAACCCACACCACAGGAGGAGGCTCCATAGGCATTTCTTCAATGAGACGCAAAGCTGCATCCAACCGTCCAGCACGACCTAACAGGTCAACCATGCAGGCATAGTGCTCCTGGCCAGGACTAACCCCAAAATCAGTTTCCATTCTATTGAAATACTCCATGCCTTCATCGATCATTCCTGAATGGCTGCAAGCATACAGTACAACAAGTAATGTAACACCATCAAGGTTAAAACCCATTTTCCACATCTCATTGAAGATTCCAAGAGCTTCTTCTCCATAACCATGCATACCGTAACCCGTCATTACAGATGTCCAAGTAACTTCATTTCTCTCTGTCATGCTGTCAAAGACAAGCCGGCCTTTACCGATGTCTCCACATTTTGCATACATATCTATTAGGCAGTTCGATACGAACAGTGGTACTGCATTCTTCTGGTTGCGCAAAGCATAAGCGTGAATTTGCTTGCCAATTCTCAATGCAGCCAAACTGGCACATGCCACAAGGGCACATGATATAGTAAAACCATTTGGTCTTGTTTGGTAATCTTGCTCGAACATCTCAGAGAAAAGTTGGAGAGCTTTGTTTGCATCCCCGTGCTGAGAGTATCCACCGATCATCACGGTCCAAGTCACAACATCCCTGTCTACGGGGGGAACTGAATCAAACATAGCACGCGCAGTATCAACTTCTTTGCACTTAGCATACATATCAATCAGTTGATTAATGACCATATTATCATCACCATGTACGTTCCGACACAAGTCTATAGGATGCTTGATTGCATAACAATGAATCTCTTTACCATGCATCAACGCTCCAACAGAAGCACAACCCGAAAGAACCGAAATAAGCGTGACTTCATTTGGTTTCACACCTGAAGACAACATCTGCCTAAACACACCCAATGCTTCATATCCAAGTCCCCTTTGAGCATACCCTGAAATAGCAGCACTCCAAGTAACAACATCCATTTTAATCTTCTCTTCTCGCATCTTCTCAAACAACCTAACAACATCATCAAACCTCCCAATCTCCGAATACCCAGCAACCATAACATTCCATGACACTACATCTTTCAACCTCATATTCAAAAACACCGTGTTTGCCTCATCCATCATCCCACACTTTGCATACATATCCACCAAACAGTTCCCTACAAACATATTCTCAATTATCTCACTTCTGATCGCGAAACCGTGCAGCTGCTTCCCTAGTGAGTGATCACCAAGAGAAGCACAAGGAGGAATCACATTCACAAGAGTAATATCATCAGGCCTGAACCCAAACTCGTTAGTCATCCGCCTAAACATCTCAACCGCCGTTTTAGGCTTCCCTAACTTAGCATAACTCTCTATTATAGAGTTCCAAGAAACAACATCCCAAACACCGTTAACAGACATTTCATCGAACACCTTCCGTGCATCCCCTAAACAGCCACAACGAGTGTACATAGCCACAAGCGCGTTCCCTACAAAGACATTGGAATTAAATCCAGTAACCCGAGAAAGCGCGTGTGCCGACGCGCCGTAACTGACTAATGAGATCTCTCCGCAAGCTTTGAATACGAAAGGGAATGTGTAATTATCCGGCGTCCATGATAGAGAATGCATAAGGCGGAACAAAGAGAGGGATTCACTGAAACGGCCATTTTCTCCGTAGAAGCGAATTAGGGAGTTCCAGTGGTAGACACCAGCGTCGGAAGGAGGAAAGCGACGGAGGAGAGATACGGAGGAGGATGAGGAGCCGAGTGAGATGTAAGTGGAGATGAGGTGGGAAGTGCGATTCAGGGTTAGGATTCCGAAGGAGATTAGTTTCCCGTGGATGAGCTTGACTTGAGAGACGGTTTTGCATTTGTGAATGAACGGCGGCGTTATCTCCGGTGGTGACGTGGAGAAGAGAGAGGGTTTAAGGTATTGGTGAGGTTTCGCGGCGGCGTTAGGGATGACATGGCGGCGGATCATGCTAGAGTTACTTGCGGGTAAGTGACTGACAGGTAATAATATATGGCGGGGTGATTTCTGCGTTTAAACTTTAAAGTTTAAACTACTACTCGGTTCGGTTCAGTTAAACTAAACCAAACTTTTAACTTTACTCGGAAGTCGGTTCAGTTAAACTAAACCAAACTTTTAACTTTACTCGATTCAAAAATTAAGACCCAAATTGACCAGATTCCCTTTCGTTTCTGGATTAGAAAGCTGAAGAAATTAAGGGAACCGAATGTTAAAATAAGAAAGTTAACAATAAAACCGGTTGATAAATTTTAAACTGAATATCGGTTCGGTTTTGTTCAGTTTCCTTATTTTACTCGGTTTAAAAATTAAGATCTAAATTGACCAAATTTCATCCGGTTTGGGAAGTTTTGTTTCGGTTCTTGATTTGAAATTTAAAAAGAGTAAGAGAACCGGATATTAAAATAAGAAAATAATAATAGAACCGATTGAGTCAAATTTTAAGCGAATATCGGTTATGTACGGTTTACGTAACCCAACCACCTGCGATTGCGGTTGGCTAGACGTTTAATATTGCGTTTGTGGCTAGTTAGTGAACCGTCGTTTATAGTTCCGCGCCTTTTTCACTCTCCATCAGACTCTATTCCCGAAGCTCCTTCACTCTCTCTCTCTCTCGGAAGACGAAATGCCGCGTAAACCTAGACATAACGTGCCGGAGATTCTATGGAGGTTATTCGGAAAACGAGCCATGAGTTTAAAGGACGCAATAGTAGATCTGATTATTCGCCGGAGTATCCCGCCGGAGAAATGCCGATGCCGTGACCAAGGTTGTCTCGGCTGTAGCCGCGATAAACCATCGTTTCTGTTGCGTTCCGGTGACCCTGCTCACTACCGTAATCTTCTTCACAGATGCTTCGTTGTACTTCATGAACAAGCCCCTCCGCTGCCGAGTTTCTCGCCGACGTCTTGGTGGTCACAGAGAGAGGTAGTTCGCACTGTACTGTGTATTGCTTTGAGTTCTTAATTTGAGAGATTTTAAGACCTAGCTAGTTGTAATGGTTGTGCTATTGATATTAAATATTGAGCTTTTTCAGATTGTTGAGAAGGTGATTGAAATTATGGAATCTGGATGTGATTGTGGGAATGTGATATGTGCCAGATATGACAAGGTGAGCTCTTCTTATTCATTCTCGAATCCAGTGTAGGGTGCATCATACTTATCTAAGCTATGTAATCTTTTGACCTTTGGGTGTTTCTTTATCTAAAGCTAATTTACTTTGAAAAACCTTAAATTTGATAAATATGATTAATGGTTTCTCCTGTTTTTCATCCTTTTTTTTTCCTCTCAGTATGATCAGTCTAGCCCTGTTATGGAGTTGTTAACAACTTCTTCTTGGGAGTTTCTTCTCAACCGGGTTTGTTATTTAACATTTTTTGATGATTTACTTCTAATCTTCGAGTTTTGGAGTGTTAATATCCAAGTTCTATTGCTTGTAGGTGGGTCATGATTTAATGGTTTATCTACTACAGCACACATCGATATTCTTGCCATTTCTAGGAAAGAAGCACCAGCAAGTGTCTGGACCTCTATGTATCACTCAAATGGGTAAGTCGGTACTCTTAAATATATGCTCTAAGAACCCGAATCATATATTTTCTTTTGGTTTTCTTGTAATACCTCCACTAGTAGGTTCTCTGGATACATTGTGATTTCTCTTTGTCAATTTCTTAGCCTTCTGTTATCAACTTGTGGTTCTAGTTCATACTAACTTGCTAGAGTTTCCATTTTCTCCATTTTTCATGTTATAGATACCTTGTCACTGTCAGTCCACCACGACAAAAGAAAGAGGGATGAGAGCGTGAAACCATCAAATAAAAAGCAGAGGGTTTCGTCTACTGTCAGCGACTGCTCTAAGGTTGAGTCTGCAGCTGTTACGTCCATAGTCTCCGTGGATGTAAGCGAACATAAAGAGGAGAAACCTAGAAAGCGTTTTAGATTGTATCTTAAGCGTCGACGAAAGCAGAGAAAGGTCAACTGCCCAAAAGTTGACGATGAGGCACCTTGTGTAACTTCTTGTTCAAATATTGAAGCCTCAACTGGGAATGAAGCTGATGGAAGGAATTTGCAAATCAGTATAAGTGGTTTTACAAAGCAGGTAACCAAAAAACCCGGGTTTCAAAGCGAAATCACTGTGCTCTGGTAGATTTTACTTTACTGCTGAACATTACTACTAGACGAGTATAAATTGCTCTTGGATTTTCCCCAGCTTTGAGAATTTGACGGGGAGTTTTTCTATAGTGTATGACACCTTATCACCTTCAAATTTGAAACACTGCCTTCTGAAGATGTAACCTCTTCTTTTTGTAGGCTAAACAGGTGAAAAGAAATAACAATTTCAAGTTTGCAAACTCTGAAACGGTTTCAGTTCTACCATCAAATCGTATCCTTAGCGGTTTGAACAAGTTCTATGACTCTTCTCTATACAGCTCTTCTCCATTGTTTATGATTCCTTATGATATACAGACATTTTGAAAACATTAAGGCCAAACTGCTCTGATTCAAAGTCCCTGATGAACCATATATTTGGTGATGTAAGTGCTTGGTCCTCGGCGCCATCTCATGGCAAAGGCAATTGTCCCAGTGGATCTATTTGCTTGTAAGTTATGCATTTATTTTCCTTCGTTTTTTTTTGTCTTTTCATACTCTGAGTCTCTGACTGACATTCTTGTTTATGTTAAGAGTATATTTTGAAAATGATGTCACAATGTTTTTTGCATTGTTCTGCAGGTATCATTCATTGCTCAAGTCTCTTAAAAGTCTAATCGGAAAAACAAAGTCCTCTCACTTGAAAATATTACTAGATAAACACTGCCCCGTTCTCTTGCCACAAGAGGATGCGTTGAAGTCAGAAAATGCGACTTCTCAGGTTGGTATTTTTTCTTTAACAGGTTGCTTTAAAATAAATGTCTTTGGAGTTTGAATAATGTTACATTATTACCTCAGAAGTATTGTGTTGGAAATATGAACGGCGAAAGACTGTAGGAAAAGGAAATCAATACAGTTACTAGTCTTGCATATATTGCAAATATGCAGAACAGTTCACATCCGTGTAACTTCCAGCTGATCCTTTGATTGACAACCGTCCGTGTCTTCCATTACAGAGTTCCTGGAGGCAAAATTCAGATAAGCTGCCTCATGGATCAAGTTCAGAGAAGCACAAACCCAATAGTCACAATGCCGAAGAAGCGAGGCTGTATTGCACCAAAGACCAAGTAGTTTCCTTTATTTGGGCCATATGTAGTTACATTATTCCAGAAAGTTTACTTGGGACAACTCGTCAGATGAGAGTGATTAGGAGAAACATAGCCTGGTTTGTTTCACGGCGAAGAAATGAGAACTGCACCGTGACGCAATTTTTACATAGAGTGAAACCATCAGATTTCTCATTCTTTGCCAGTAATCAGTTATGCTGTATGGTTAACGGACATGCACTCCAGAATGAGTCCATCAGAGCTACACAGCAGATGTTGTGCACGAAATGGATATCTTGGCTTTTCTTAGAGATCGTCAAGAAATTGGTGCTCTTCAATTTCTATGCCACTGAAAGGCAAGATGGGCGGCTGAACATGTACTATTACCGGAAATGTAACTGGGAAAGGTTAATAAGCAAAGAAATTAGCAAAAACCTTGCTGGATATGACCAAGTGGAGAATGCTGAAGCTGAGAGCAGAAGGCAAAATCTGGGGTTATCGAAGTTTAGATTTCTACCAAAGGCAAATGGTGTGAGGATGGTGTTAAATTTTAGTTCCTCGTCAAGGTTGCGATCTCTTCGTGATACACATGCCGTTTTGAAGGACATTCAGCTCAAAGAACCAGATGTCCTTGGGTCTTCTGTTTTTGACCATGATGATTTCTACAGAATCTTAGGCCCATATCTGATTCATTTGAGGAGTCAATCTGGGGAACTTCCTCCTTTGTTCTTTGTGGTTGCGGATGTTTTCAAAGCATTTGATTCGATCGACCAGGGTAAGCTACTTGATGTTGTACAATGTATCCTGAAAGATGAATACATATTAAAAGCGTGTAGGTTGATCTGCTGTGGGAAGAGATCACGTTGGGTAAACAATATACTAGTCTCGGCTGATAAAAATGCTACCGCTTCAAGATTCACATCAACTGTTCCATATAATGCTCTGCAAAGTATCATTGTTGATCAGGTATGCTTCTTTTTGTTATGCTAAGCCTCTGTGATTTTAATCATATATGCTGTCTGTGAATTATTTCTGCAACATTTGTGTGTGCCTAGTGTCGAAAAAACATTCTGGTTATATGATGATAAATAAAATGAATGAGAACAAAATTATAGTTCATGGCATTCTGGTTGGTCTTTCATTTGAAACTTAGTTGAAAATCTGTTTGTGTAACATCTCTACTTCATTGTTTAATCTTTGCATGAGAAAGCATGATAATATGTTCTGGAAGGTAAAAAACAAAACTGTTGGACCGGTGAAAAGTCTTTAGAGATCTGACTTGTATTGGTTCCTTCGTTACTTATTTCCTTACCAGTATTATGGTTTTTGGTCCATTGTTTTCAGGGAGAAAACCATCTAGTGAAGAAAAAGGACCTCATGCTTTGGATAAACAACATGCTAAAGAATAATATGCTGCAAATAGATAAAAACTTCTATGTACAAATAGCAGGGATACCTCAGGGACACAGATTGTCATCTTTGTTATGCTGTTTTTACTACGGGCATCTCGAGAGGACTTTGATCTACCCGTTCCTAGAGGAAGCCTCTAGAGATGCGTCTGCTAAACAATGCGATGGAGAGAAAGAGCTAATCACTCCCACAAGCTATAAGTTACTGAGATTTATCGATGATTACCTCTTTGTGTCTACCTCAAGAGATCAGGCCACTAGATTTTATCAGAGGTTGAAGCAAGGGTTTCCAGATTACAACTGCATCATGAACAACAAGAAATTCTGCATAAACTTCGAAGATGAAGAAGAATCTCAGAGTACATCTTCTAACAGGATGTATGTGGGTGATAATGAAGTTTCTTTCATAAGATGGACAGGCTTGCTTATTAATTCCCGTACATTCGAAGTTCAAGTTGACTACACAAGGTCTGCCTCATTCTCCTGTATATACCTCAGCCTTTTCTGCTTTATGATTGTTTCGAGTTTGACTTCGCCACTCAAATCTGTGGAAACAGGTACTTGAATGGCCATATAAGCTCAACCTTTTCGGTAGCTTGGCAGAACAAACCAGTTGGAAATCTTCGGCATAAATTATGTTACTTCTTGGTCCCCAAATGTCATCCAATTCTCTTTGACTCGAACATCAACTCAAGAGCAATTGTCAGGTTAAACATCTATCAGATCTTTCTGTTAGCTGCAATGAAGTTTCACTGTTATGTCTACGAACTGGCCCGGTTTTGGAAGCTTCACCCCCAAACTTTGTCCAAATTCATCACAAAATCTATCAGGTATGGAATAAAACTACATCATATGTTTCATTTTTGTTTATGTTCAGTTATATAATCTTAGCGTTCTTGATTTTAATCCAATTTATAGGTACATGTTCAAACTCATAAATAGAAGGACGCACAGAATCAACACTGGTTCTAGTTTCAGACCAGTTCTTGAACTGTGCAGAGAAGAAGTGATATGGCTTGGCTTACACGCATACATTGAAGTACTGAAGAAGAAAAACTCCAGATATCGAATCCTCTTGAACTATTTGAGATCTGCACTTTCGAAACTCAATCTTTCTTTGAATCTATCGCCGGATTTGAAGTATGCAACGAACCGGTCAAACTCATCTTCCCTTTGGAAACTGAGTTACTGATCCTCTACTGAATGAAGCTGGTGTGAACGGGTTAGTTTGAATTTCTGTCTTTACATTTATTTCTATGTAATAACTGTTTAGATTATTGAATATATAGACAAGATCCAAGCATAGCTTTTTATGTTATAACATACCAAAGTAACCAACAAGAAAGAGAAAAAAAAACTTTTTAATTGTGATGAGGTTTATTTCTTGGAGTATTCAGACGAATGAATCGGAGCATACCCTTCCGGTAATTGCTGCTGTGACTCTGAAGGTTGTGGCGGGTGCTCAGCTTCAACCTTTTCTTTTGTTTTCTGACTAACCTCTCCAGCAGCTTTAGCAACTCTGCTGAACGCTCCTGCTGCCCAGGTCACACCGGTTAACACATAACGGTTTTTCATCACAGCGTTTCCTGCGCTGCTCACCGTCTGTTCAGCCGAAGCATATGCAGACTTGGTCCTCTCTGAAACCTGGAGGCTTTGATCCACCTCTTTGATCTTGTCGTTCACCAAAGTTGTACCAGCTGTGAATTTTTGGCTTAGACCGATCTTTTGGTCTATGGAAGTAACTCCTGCGGTTGCTGTTGAAGTGAAACCGAGTTTCTCATCAAATGCTTTTGCTTTGCCGACGGCGTCTTTCCCGAGGATGAAACCCTTTGCTAACATGCTGCTCACAACATCTTCTGCCTTCTGGACAACGGATTCCGCGGCACCACCGCTCTGTGTTTCCTGGGAAATGAACAAAGATTAAAACCTTCAGAGATTTCATGGATTTGAGAGATTTAGAAGAGATTACAGTGTGAGGGGCAGCAGGTGGAGTGTAGTTAGGAGCCATCTCAATGGTGACTGATTGATCAGCAATACTCGCACCCTGATAAACATCTCTAGTTGTTAGTATACATAATATTTATTATGTATGCTAAGAAGAGGCATGGTTAAAGTGAACCCACAGATAAGAGCACAGCGGTCTCTGCTCCTTGAGGATCTTTGAATGTGACGTAAGCACTATGCTCGCTACTGCTAGTTGAAAACATGAAACACAAACAAAACAAGTTCAGAGTCAAACATAACGTTAAGAGAATCTTGTTAATAAACCTTCATTCCTTTCGAAAGGCTTTCATTTCACCACCACTGTCTCGAAGAACGCAAAGATATAGGCAATGACTAACCCTTGGATGTCAATACTTTCAACTTCACCAGAAAAGGAGAAAAACTCTTTGACATCATGTTCTGTTGCTCTTGAGGAGAGATTTCCAACTTTCACTGACCTTATCTGTCATCACCATGAATCAAAGGATATGAATCATTAACGAAAACCACATGTTAAATAAATATAAACGCAGAGAACAACAACATAATCCAGTGAAACGTGATTCAGAGATAAATTAGATTTTATTTGTTTCTAAAGAATACATATAAATGAAGTTTAGCTGCTTATCTAAACATTATTCCATTCTCACACTTTTCACTAAATTACATATATGTACAGATCAATTCGAATTAGCAGCAATCAAACTCGTCCAAGCAGCAAAAATTGATGATACGCAATCGTTTATAGTCTTAACAAAATTTTGGGAAGAAACACAGCAAAATTTACACGCATAAGAAGAAAAGAAGAACAAACCGCCATGGATGGATGTAGCTGATCTTCGATGTCGCCGGGAAGAGAGGTGTGAGATTGCTTTCTAAACGAAGATTGAAAGAGAAACGGACTTCGATATTTGATTGATTGGTAGCGTATAGAGGAGAGAAGTGTCTTTGCTTTTTATGACACTCTCGAGACGTGTGGGATTTGCGTTACGCCATTCATCCTATTAATCTTATTTTTAGTACTTACTAATATTTGTTTTTCGCTTTTTTCATATCAGTTCATAATTCAATGATAAAATATTTTGATAATATTGATTACTATTAGATTAAAATTAAGATGTTTAAATTATTATTTTTTTATAATCTTACTTTCAGTTTAAATTATACTTACCCTTTGGAAATATTTTTGGGCATATGGAGTTATGAATCAGTTAGTTTGATTTGAATACAAAAAAAAAAAAAAAGAATTTTGACTAAAAAACATAAAACGGGCCTTATCTTCATCACATTGGGCTTTAGTCTAAAGCCTTAGTACCAATAAGAGATTGACGATCAAGCCTCTCGCCACCGGTTAAAGCAAAGCGTTGAAGCTTTTTTCTGTAGAACCATCTGGTAAGTCCGGTTAACTTGCTCATTTAGCTTTTTGTTTTCCAATGCATGCCATTGCATCCTAGGATTTGATTATAAAAATATATTTATTGCCTTGGTATCTTCACTTTAGATTCCAGAGTCTTGAGAGCAGTGGCAGACCCAGCTTGCTGGGAGGAAGCTCAGGTGGGCCACATGACCCATGTGAATTTTTTATTTAAAAAAATTTACTAGTACTTTTTTTGAAAAAATGGAAAACTAATGCAAAATTTAGTCTAATGACCCTGCTAATATATGTTATTTATGGAATTGACCCTCCTAGACGCTTTTGTCTGCTTGATAGCAATGGTAGATGTAGGAAGAATCTCATGAGAACAAAAGAGAGAAGAAAACTGACAGGTAAGGTAATAATAATATTTGAAAAGTGAGATGCTCCACTGGTTGAAGTCTCCATATTCATCTATGGAAATGGACCCATGCAAAACAAAGCATCTTCTTCCTTTGAGAAGTCCACTTTTAATTCTCTGTAGGCGGTCAAAGTGAGGTGGAGTCAAACATGAAAGAAATCGTTTTTAAATTATACGAGGCCACGTTTAGCTCCTATGCACCAAAAGCCGAATCCGAAATCGGAGGAAATAAAGTTTTTAAAAACTTTTCCATGTCGCCAATGAATACGTCATCAAGAAAAAAGCAAGTGGGGTAAAGGTCTGTCCATGAATGCGTACGTTCACAATGACGTCGACGTCCACAAGACGAAATGAAAACAAAACTTTTCTTTTTGTCCCACTAATCAATGTGTATAAATACCTGCACATGTATCCCATCTTCAAACATATTCAAATTGTTTTAAAGAAAAATAATCAGAGAGACAAGAAGTGATGGAAAACGCAATCAAGAAACAGGGTATCCCTCTCCTCAGGCCTTACAAGATGGGTAGATTCAATCTTTCCCACAGGTATGTTGTTGTTGTATATGTCCCTTTCTTCAGTTTTCTATGATCTCAAAACTTGAACCGTTTTGTTTTATGAATCAGGGTTGTTCTTGCACCATTGACGAGACAAAGATCATACGGAAACGTTCCTCAACCTCATGCTATCATATACTACGCACAGAGAACCACCCCGGGAGGTCTTCTCATCACTGAAGCCACTGGTGTTTCAGACACAGCTCAAGGGTAAACTACTTCTTCCATCTCCACTCTTTCTTTTTTAAATATAAACTTTACGTTTAGTTATTGATTTTGATCTGACCAACATTTATTTGTTCTTGAAGGTATCAAGATACACCTGGGATATGGACTAAAGAGCAAGTGGAGGCATGGAAGCCAATTGTGGATGCTGTCCATGCCAAAGGTGGCATCATCTTCTGTCAGATCTGGCATGTTGGCAGAGTTTCTAATAAAAGTTTTCAGCCAAATGGGCAAGCTCCCATCTCTTGTTCTGACAAGCCATTGATGCCTCAGATCAGATCTAATGGCATTGATGAAGCTATGTTTACACCTCCGAGACGCCTAAGCACTGAAGAGATCCCAACCATTGTTAACCATTTCAGGCTAGCTGCAAGAAACGCTATGGAAGCTGGTAAGCACACTCTCATTGGTAACCGTAACACTAAGCATAGATTGTTGGTCAAATGACTTGGAACAAAAAAATATTGTGACAAAATTAACACAAAGCAAAATAACAAAATTAGCACTAATTAAAAAATAATATAACTAAAGTATTTCCATTCATAAACACTCACCTTAATGTCATCCCACAAATAGTAAACATTCAATTCTAATCACTAAACTCAAATATAAATATATTTGCAAATTTACGGTAATACTATTTTGTTTTGGTTTTTGTTTTTTGAAAAATTCTTTAGGATAGACCTAAAAAAAATTCTAACAAATATAAATTTTAAAAATAAACATGATAAAAATGGACTTAATTGTTTTATAAAAAAACAAGCAAATATACACTTAGATAATTTGAACCAACTAATCATAACCTTTTTTTTTTAGAGTTGAGGAGTAGGGTTTTAAGAATACGATTTCAAATTTAAAAAAAAAAACGTAAAATTTTCAAAAAAAAAAAAACAAAAAATTGTTTTGGTCATTTTAGTTTTTGAAATCTATTTTTGTGAAAAAATTAAAAATATCTGATAGTTACTTTTTTTTTTGTTGTTGCTAATTTGAGAATAATAAAGTTTTATAGTGCTATTATTCTAGAAGAAAGACTCTTACATTATATATGTGTTCTTGAACGTTGTTGTTACTTGCAGGCTTCGACGGAGTAGAGATCCATCACTACAAAAAAAAGGCTAGTTTAAATCATTTATTTTGTATATTTGTATTAGTTATAAATGATGTGAAAATATTTTACATCACTTAAGTAAATGACTTAGTTTTTGATGATGCAAATAATTTGTATCATTTTGTTCTAAATTGATGTAATAAATAGTAAATATTTTCATCAGTTATTTAAGTGATGTTAGTATGTGTCAATTACTAAAAATGATGCTACCATTTGCATCATTTGATTTAAATGATGTTTGTATTAGTGTCAATTTAATAAGCCGATTGTAATATTTAAATCATTTACTATACCTGATGTAAAATTAACATCACTTTTTGGAAATGATGTTAACAGTGGTATCATTTACAACAAGTGATTTAATTATTGTATTATTTACAATTACAGATAAAAATATCAGTATCATTTGTATAATTGATGTCACATTTATATCAGTTTTTATAGGTGATCCTAATATGTATTATTTTTATTCACATTATTAAAATAAGAATTTCATTATTAAACAGATAAATATCAGTAAATGTTTTATTATATTTACAAATGTAAAAATAAATACAAAATGAAAAAAATATTACTAGCATGGTTTCCAATGTTTGAATATCCATTAGAACCATCACATCAAAATTGTTGCAAAGTTACGTAGTAGTCAGCCACCATTGTAAACTTCATCTATGATTTCTGAAAACTCTTGAACGTTAAATATCTTGTTCATCTCCTCTTTGAACCACTATATAAATAACAAGCTCTTTACAATGTGAATCTTCTTTCTTTTTGTGCCATCATTCATATTCTGCAAATAACAAAGACAAATTAATGATTTTAAAATCGTGATCCACTAAAAAAAACGAAACACACCAAGAATTGAGAATAAGTTGTTACCATCAATACCTTTTATGATCACTTGTTAACTGAAATGAATAAAATCAGACTTAGTGATTGTTTATCATAACCTAATAGAAACACAATTATGAAATCTAAATTTAAAGAAAAGCTGAGAACTTACCTGTTTAAATTGGCAAGAAAGATATAAGGTTCACGGGTGGATGCTATGAACCCTTGATCACGATGAACAAATTTTAAGATTGAGAAATTAAGAGAAGAAAAATGTAGGTCATCTTAAAAAAAAAAAGAGAGAGAGTTATTTTTAGTTTTGGCTTTAATAATGAAGGAAGTGGAAGAACTCATAAATGAGGATTACGATAAAGATGAAGATTTTTGGTTGAAGTAAACAGTTAAAGAATAAAATATAATTAAATTCAAGAAAAAACACATCAAAGTCAAAGAATATATGTAACTGTTTCACGTAATCTTTGGATTGTGAAGTTTAAAATATTTGTTAACTGATTTGTTTTAGTGGGTTGTTTTATTTAGTTTTGTGATGGTTACATCGGTTTTTATAACTGAAGTTAATGAACATAATTGTTTTTTATATAAATAAAAAATTATTAGCATCAGATTTATTTTGCAACATTTTAATAAGTGATGCTAACAGCAAAATAAATACATCATTTATATAATTGATATAACTTTATATCATTTTTTGTTAAAGTGATACAACTTACAACAAAACATGTCATTTTCTTGAATTGATGCCAAATAATATAATAACACATCATTTCATATAAATGATGATAAATTATAAATATATTTGTTTCATTTGCAAATAAAATGATTTTAAATAGAATCACTGAATTTTGTGATGTAAATTAAGTGATACAATTCACCTCTTTTTTTGTAGTGCATGGAGCTAATGGCTACCTCATCGACCAGTTCATGAAAGACACCATAAACGACAGAACCGACGAATACGGTGGATCATTACAAAACCGCTGCAAATTTGCTCTAGACATAGTCGAAGCAGTGTCCAACGAGATCGGTCCTGACCGCGTTGGAATCAGGCTCTCACCCTTCGCAGACTTTATGGAATCAAGAGACACAAACCCACAAGCGTTAGCACTTCACATGGCAGAGTCTCTGAACAAATACGGAATCTTATACTGTCACGTGATCGAAGCGAGGATGGACACAAAGGGAGAGGTAACAGAGTGTCCTCACACGTTGGTGTCGATGAGGAAAGCTTTTAAGGGGACGTTTATTGCCGCGGGAGGTTACAAGAGGGAAGATGGGAACGAGGCGGTGGAGAAGGGGAGGACTGATCTTGTGGCGTTTGGTCGGTGGTTTTTGGCGAACCCGGATTTGCCGAAGAGGTTTGAAGTTGGTGCGGAGTTGAATAAGTATGATAGATCGACGTTTTATACTTCTGATCCTGTCGTGGGTTACACTGACTACCCTTTTCTTGGTTGATATGTTTATTAATACATCATGTTATGTGTTTTTTTTTTCATGTAATAAGACGACATTGTCGGTCGAATCGCCACCACGAATTTATGAAAACGTTATCGCTCTTTTTTTTTCCAGATTTTCCACAATTTATACGATATCAGCTAGTAATACCTTGACTTATTGTGAACATATGCCCTGTTTTTCAAATCCACTTTTACCGTCACTATTCGATTTAGTGAGAGTCTTCCTAATCTAACGAGTTAATTAAGAATTCATTAATAATTGTACACTATTTTTTTTTGTATTTTAGTCAGTTAATACAATTTATCATTACTTATGCAGATTATTAGAAAAAGTTACATAAGATTTTTAATATGATGTAAACAGAATCATTAGTCATAAATTTTCATAAAATAATATAATTTGGTATATGATGTAAATAGCATCTACAACCATATACTTTGATAAAATAATTTCAGACGTGATACAACAACAGAAAACTTTGACTATAAAATTGTTTTGTAATATATATTTTTTTTCTAATTTATGATGGAACAAACCAGCATTAGGAAACTAACAAGTAGAATTAAGGTTGGTTTAGTTCTGCAGATTACGGTTAGAGATCGACTCTGTCCGGTTTAACCGGTCCAAGTTTAATTCAAATTTTTAAAACGAGTAGAGTGGGTCAACTACGACAGCTCAGGATCCTTCCCTCTACCGCCATATCCACGCGGACCACATGAAATAAATAATTTATGCAATCTATTATATTAAAAGAGAAGTTATGACTCACTTCATGTGTGATATTTTAGTTTGGACCATCTTTAAAGTTTTATAAAATTTTACATAATATTACTTTTCATATCTTTAATTTTTGTTTGAAATACAAATAAATAGTTTTAGGAAAATTCTAACAAAATCTTTTAAAAATCTTTTAGAATCTTTTTCAAGATATAGTTTCAAAAATTATTTGATTAAAATTTTAATTATCATAAAATATAATTAAAATTTAATTCATTTTTAATTTATAAACAAAAATTAAAATTATGTAAAATACTTTTAACAATATCCCAAAATTTTGTTTATGTATTATGTAAGTCCAACTTAATTAATTTTTACATAGATTTCAAATTTAGAAATAAAACAAAATATATAAATTAGTAATCTTACATAATAATGTTTTTAAAAATTATTACAAAAATACAAATTTATAAATTTTATATTAATAATATTATAATTCACATAAAAATGATTATAAAATTGGATAGCATAAAGAATCAAATTATACTTATTTATTCATAATTTTTTTTAATATAATTTCAAATATTTCGTATTAAAATACCTGCACGGTTGTGCGGATTGAAATCTAGTTTCTTTTATTTTAAAAAATAATAAATTTCGTGAAACGTATTTACCTTACTCTTCCCCCATCATCATCATCCTTTGTTCCCCCAATTGAGAGAGATTCGATTCGATCGAGAAGAAGAAGAGGAAGATGAGTTTCCAAGATCTCGAAGCTGGCTCTCGATTTCAGGCGCCGAATCGTGGGAGGCAGCAGAAACATATGTCTCGTGGGGATCCGTCTCAGGAAGTAGCCGCCGGGATCTTCAGAATCAGCACGGCTGTCAATTCCTTCTTCCGCCTCGTTAATTCGATCGGAACGCCGAAGGATACTCTTGAATTGCGGGAGAAGCTGTCAGTAACATTTCTCTTCCCCTCCGAGTTAATTAGGGTTTTTGTTTCAATTGGGGTTCTTAGGTTTCTTAGGATGACGTGATAGTTAAGGTTTTGATGGTTCTTTTGTTTAACTATGGTTAAAAAAAAGTTAAATTCATTGTTAATGTCTGACAATTTTGGTTTGTTTAATTGAGAATTTGTTTTTTAAAAAGGATTAATTTTGTTTATATGTTTTGGAAATTATAATTGGTTACAGGCAAAAGACAAGGTTACAGATATCAGAACTGGTGAAGAACACGTCAGCTAAACTTAAAGAAGCTAGCGAAGCCGACCTCCATGGAGCAGCTAGTGTAAGAAACTGCTTATCTTTTTTTGTTTGTTTAATCATGTGAATGAGAGCATTTACTATTGAAAATCAACTTTGGTGGTGATACCATTATTTTTTAGTTAGGTTGGAGAATTGGTTGCCTGATAGATGATGTGGTGTGACTTGTTTATCTGTAAACATTATTCATATTGCTGTGTTATGTTTATATTGACTTGTAGCCAATTAAGAAGATTGCGGATGCTAAACTGGCGAAAGATTTTCAATCAGTTTTGAAAGAGTTTCAGAAAGCTCAGAGACTTGCAGCTGAAAGGGAGATTACATATACTCCTGTGGTCACACAAGATGTACCTACCAGGTAATTAAATGAAATCTTGTTTGTTTACTGGATGAGCAGCTTTAATTATGTAGAATAAACTTTTCAAATGTTTAGAATTTTTTTTTTAACTAGGGATGGTTACTGATTGTTTGTGGAATTTGAAGCTTACTTACTCATGCTTCATTGTTTTGCCACTTCATGCAGTTATAATGCACAGGAACTGGATATTGAATCTTTAAGGACCTCCCAGGAGCAAACTCGTCTTCTACAATCAAGAAGGTGAGAATATGATTTGATTGTATGCTATAGGAGGATACTCTTTTGCTGATTCACTTGATCATTTTTTTCAGCATAAATACTAACCAAATGTGAGTCAAGCATGCAGATTTCATTTGTTCTTTAGTGAAATGTTTAGCTGGGTACTAACTCTAGCCCAAATTGTTGATAAGGTTAATAGAAGTTTCCAAGTTGGTTATGGCCATGAAACCTCATTATCTCTGTCTGGGCACGTTGTGCTAACTCATATCTTGCTGCGGATATGCTATTTAACTTGAATTATTCTTACTGCAGGCAAGAGGTGGTGTTTTTAGATAACGAGATAACATTTAATGAAGCAATTATTGAGGAAAGGGAGCAAGGAATTAGAGAAATTCAAGAACAGATTGGTGAAGTGAATGAAATCTTCAAAGATCTAGCTGTTTTAGTGAACGATCAAGGAGTTATGATTGGTTAGTACCACCATAAATTGTAAATATCCCCGTCTCCTTTGCTTTGCTTTTTTTTTTTAAATCTGAGAAACTCTATAATGTCTATTTGGCAGATGATATCAGCTCTAACATTGATAATTCACATGCTGCAACTTCGCAAGCCAATGCTCAACTCAGAAAAGCATCTAAAACTCAAAGAGCAAACTCATCTTTGGTATTACTAGAGACTCTTTTAATCCCTGATTCCTTTTTTTTTAGCAGCTAAAGCTAAGTTTCATATATTTTACTTTGTTGCAGACGTGCCTTCTTATTCTGATTTTTGGGATTGTTATCCTCATTGTCATCATCGTTGTCTTGGTCTGAGCACCAAGCGCCAAGCTCCGAGCGCCAAGCTCCGAGCACCAAGCGAATACGACTCGAGGAACCTATACAAGTACCAACTATCCACTAAAGATATATATTTATTGTACAGATTCTTTGTACTCCATCGTCCTTCCCATTCAATCGAATCGAGTCTCAACTTCTCATTGTGTGAATGGTTTATGTATTAATCCATCTTGTTATCTTTATAGCAAAAGATACGAACATGTATGATTCATGTCTATCAGTTTGTTTTCATCGAGACGGTCAGGTACCAGAGATTATCGTAGTGATATAATGATTAAACATGAAGGACGTTTTAACACAAAAGTAACAAAAACAGAAGAGTAATCTCTACTTGAAGACTATTCACAAGTATGGTAATACATCTTTAACGTTTGGTTGTATGCTCTCTTTTCTCTTCTTAGGTTTTGTGCATCTCAAAGTCAAAGCGTAAAGGGTAAAGAAATAACAGACAACCTTTGATATATCTCCTCCTCCATTCATATTTCCTTCACAATCTCCCCTGAGAATGAATATACATCTGTGTGAAACAAATGAACACACTCCTTATAGAACAATAATGCAGAGAACAGTTTTTTTCATTCTCACCTTCATTTCATCTGTGTTTCTGAAGAAAGAAGTCCCATTTGTTCAGTAAGATGGTTCACTTGTTGATTCCCAGTCCACTTGTTTGGTTCTTGCTCCATTGGCAGGTCACTATTCTCCACTGACCCTGATATAGTCTCGTCTGCCTCTCCACTCACTGGGGCTTCATCAGCAAAAAACTGTTCCCAGAATGGATCTTGTACTCCAGGCAGCTCAGGAACCCCGTTTAGTAACTCTTCCATCTCTCCCTCAACTTTAGGAGTAATTGCATCGCTTTTCATTTCCATTGACCCACCTAAAGCAGCCATTATTGGATCCAAACACTCTCCATCACCTGTCTCACATCCAACTAATTCAGATTCAGGGCTCCAAGAAGAAACTGCAGCTGCTACTCCTTGGCCTGGTTTTGGACCATCTTGAGGATGATGAGCCAAACCTGCCTCAGGTACTTGGTTCATTGCTGAATGAGCCGAGTCCAGTGAAACCTCAGGCAGTGTTACTCCAGAAACTGTGTTAGAGGAGTTCAGAGAGCTAGGGTTGTCTGAAACCAATTCAGACTGTGGTGAGCTACTCATATCCAAGAACTGTCGAAGCATAGTTTCTGCTGCTTCGTTTATCGATGGCTGATACTTCACAATCTGACGGTTAACATCATTAGCTACCTCTTGTTCATCTCCCGGAAGTCTCCTCTTTTTGTTGCTTCCTTGAATCTGTCTGTTTCCATCATCATTCTGTTGTTGTAATAACTGGTTTAAGAAGCCTGGACTCTGAACAGCCTTCGCTAAAAACGACATCATTTGCTGTTGCCTCTGCTCCATCACCTGAACTTTCTGTCCTGCCTCCTGCAATTGCTGTTCTGTAGCTTGTTGTTGCTGCCTTAACCTGACAAGTTCCTGCATAAGAACATTCTTATCCCGCTTGAGTCTTTCCACTTCTTCTGCCATTCCAAACTTCCCTACCTCGACACAAGCACCAAGAGGTGGCTTCTGAACTTGAGTTTGTTGCTGATTCTGTTGCACATTCGAAGAAGATTTCCTTCTTACAATACCCTTCAGTAGTTGCTTTTGGCCTCTTAAGAATCCCTCATTCGCAAATTCCCATCGATCTGGATCAACTTTCCTGAATCCCTGATACAAAAATCCAACAAGAGAGACTAATAAAGATACAACAAAGATAGAACATATTATAAACTGCAATAACCCATTAAACTTCATGATCTATCTGTTTTTTTTAAGGTAAAGAAAGACTGATTACTTACATATGTATTTAACTGTCTGACAAAGCTGGAGAAATTGTTGTGCTTGAAGTACTTAGGCAAGAACACCTTCGAGAACTCAGGCACGTCCCAGACAATGAAGCTGTTGTTACCACTGCTCCAAGAAACGATCTCATTGGTGGAAGGATCATCAACCATATCATAGGTTTTGCTCAGAAAAGGCGGCACCGTGTTCACCGGAGGCGGTATAGGCGACGGGTTTGAGTTCACGGACGGTGTTGATTCAAGAACCGGTTCCATAGCTACGAATGCAAGCAAGAACTACTCACTAAAAGTAGCAGAGTTGTGATTCTTTTAGATCATTTCAGTTTTTCTGCGTCGCTTTTTCTTTTTACTTTTCTTTTTTCTTTTTCACTCGGTGAGTTTCGTACGTGGCGTATTATATACCGTAAAAAATAATAAGATTAACTATGCGTCGTTGGATTATATTAATTATAATATGGAAAAAGCCACGTAGGATGCAGAGAAAGCTCCCATCTCTCTGGGACTGACACACACTGATGAATCATCGGAAAATTGAAAGTGAAGCGGCGGAATACATAACGGAAGTATTGAATCCGATCGCTATTAATCGCGTTTTCCTTCAAATGCGTTCCGCGTTTCTCCTTGATCCATCGGGAATCAGGCTAGTTACCTGTGACAATAATCTCAATATTATTTGAGAAGTCAGTTCCTACGTGTCGCACTCACATTAACTCTTGCGATAGTTGATTACATATAGATACCCTTAATGAATTGTTAGATTTTAAGATTATTATTAACTTTTTACTTTTTTCCAATAAAATATATATAATAAAAAGGAAATATTTCTAAAATTGTAAAACAAATTTAAAAACGGAAATATATGTATATCTTATGACTTTATTAAAAAGGAAAGTTCACAAAATAGTAATACTCCCATTAATATATATTTTTAAATAACATAAAATATATATTCAAAATAATAAAATATATATGTTCATGAATATTCAAAAATTACCAGTTACAATTTAATTTTTTGTAGAATTTATATATATGCATGAGACTTCAAAATATTATCATTATATTCATTTATGTAATTTTGAATCAAACACTTCAGTTTATTATTTATTTCATTGTAAGTACAATATATATTAAGTTATATATAATTTAACTATAATATATTTACATATCTAAGAAAATAACCAACCAAAATGAAAATAAGAAAATTAATCAAAGTTTTATTATATTTAGAATAAAAATATTATAACTGAATTCTAAAAATATATTTTATCCAATATACCAAATTGATAACCATACAGACTATTGATCCAAAAATAATTAAACCGACAATAATATATCCATAGTCATATGTATAATTAGAATAATATAATATTTATTAATATAAATTATACATATAAATTTATTCAATACTAAAACTAAATATCAATCAATTATTATACAATTTTACTTTTATGAATATTTATACCCGTGCATGAGCACGGGAAAATCACCTTAGTTGTTGAGGTAAATTACGTGACGACGATAGTGACCAAAAAAAAAAGAGTGATGAATTATCATGCACGTGATTGTTAGTGGCAAGGCACGTGAGGTGATCTCAAGAACTTAAAAGATGCTTCGCTTCAAGGCCATAGCCGAAAAGGAAAGTACGTTTCTTAATCTTTCCTCTTCCGTCTCCAAAAGTCGTTTCTTTCGATTCAATTCACCCGCGAAATCTTTGCAGATCAACAAACCCTTCTTCGGATTCCGAAACTCTTAACCCACCCGGATCCGCTCGTTAGATTTGATCTCGTGATCTTTTTCTTTTTGGGGTTCAGATGATCACAAAGTATTAGAAATCTAGAGTTTCACGTTTAGTTATTGCTACAAGATGTCGCGTTTTCCGCGTGGATTCGTGGAGAATTCGTCAATGGAGGAACCCAAACCCTCTACTCGTCCAAGTATCTGCTTCAGACCGATAAACCCTTCTGATTTAGAACGTCTGGAGCAAATCCATCGGGACATATTCCCAATCAGGTAAAAGTTAAAGTTCGTTTCTTTGAACATCTTTTTTTTTCCAATACTTAATCTGGTATTTGAGATTTTGACTTTCCCTTTTCGGAAATTGATTTATTTCTTTCAGGTATGAGTCTGAGTTTTTTCAGAATGTTGTCAACGGTGGAGATATCCTCTCTTGGGCTGCTGTTGATCGGAGCCGACCTGATGGTTACTCTGATGAACTTATTGGGTTTGTTACTGCTAAGATTGGGCCTGCTAAAGAAACCGAAGTGAGTCTCTTTTCATTTTGAAGCTTGTTTCTTCCTTAAAGTAGAAGTTTGTTCTGAAGGTTTGTGAAGTGTTGATATTGAATGTTTGAAACAGTTTCATGAATTGGGGTTCTTAAGAATTTCTTAAAGATTAAAACTTTCTAAAGTTTCAGCAGCTTTTGATTTGAATCTTGGTTTGCGGCATTGGTTTCAAAGCTTTGTGTTCTCTTCTTTTTGGATGTAAAGTGTAGATTTTGAATGTTGTCGAAAATTTTATTATGTCCTATAGTTTAAGCGTTGAAGTTTTAGCCAGGTTCATTAGATGGGATTCTTACAAAAGTTCTTCAAAAATCAAACGGATCTGCTTTTCTAACGTCTTGATTATGATGCAAACTTGTTTTTTTGTACTCGTTTGCGTAATGTAACAACTCTAGGGGTTATCTTATGTGTTTATATGTTGAGACTTTTTCTTTGTTCGAGCAGATATCGGATTTAATAAGATATGACTCTTGTAAGGGAGAGGAGACATTGGTGTACATTTTAACGCTTGGAGTTGTAGAAAGCTACAGAAAACGTGGAATAGGTATTGATTATGACCCCAAGCAGTAAATCAAATAATATAGATTTTTATTGATTTTCTTGCTTGGTTTTGTTAATATTAAGTTTCTGCAACTTTGTTTCTTCTTTGCAGCTAAGTTGCTTATTAAGGAGGTCATCAAATATGCTTCTAGTATCCCTGTGTGCCGTGGTGTTTACCTTCATGTCATTGCACACAACAATCCTGCAATCAGATTGTACAAAAGAATGTCTTTCAGATGTGTTAAGAGGTTACACGGATTCTACATAATCAACGGCCAGCATTTCGATTCTTTCTTGTTCGTCTACTTTATCAACGGTTCTCGCTCTCCTTGCTCACCCTTGTAAGTTCAAAACGCTTTTCTTTTTATGGTTTCATTCATGTATTGGGGTTATGGTTTAATCGTTGCTGCGTTGCAGTGATCTTGTGGTGTTAGTTCTAAATTATATGAGGAGCGGAATCAAATCAGTCGCATCAAAGCTAACAATGAAGCAGGAAGAGAAAGGCTTGAAATGGATTAAATGCAAAGACATGACGAGGTGTCTCTTACCCACTCAGACCAAAAGAAACCTTGCATCCGAAAGAGCATCAGCCGGCTATGATTACGTTTAGTGTTTAGTATCTGATTTATAGAGTTTGTAAACTCATTCATTTCTATGTCTTCACTAAGCTCTGGTTATATGATCTGGTTTTAATATGTAATAAAAATGTAAATATTGTGTGATAGAAAAAAAAAACTTCTCTTTTTGAGGAGGGGTTCAATCACTTAAACGTCTTAAATTAGTTAGCTTGCTGAAATATAGCTTTGTGCTCTCTGTATACAACTTCGGTTCAGTTGTGTAAACCATATTGGATCAATCTTTCACTAAACTATATTTTTTAAAAATTTATTGGATATGATTAGAAAACATTTCTCAACATTTGATAAATATACTCATGTGGTAAACGATGAAACTGCACAGAGGTTGTGCCAAAACTATAAAAAGCATGCTCAATTGTCAATGTAAATGAACCATTATTGTGCCAAACCAATGTCGCAATGTGGAATATTGAAACACCATTATTGCTAATGCAGCCCATGAAACAAGGGTTTCTCACTTTATCAAAGTAGCATTGATCTGAAATGGTATTAATTTTTACCTCAACACTGAAGACAAGGTAGTTAGCAACATAAACATTATGTATGTGATCCAACTTTGGATGAATGTAACTCACAGTCCAGTGAATCTAACGCTCATGAGGATAGCGACTTTCTTAGAATCTGAAGTAGGAGAAAATATCTTACAACACCATAATCGCTTATAATCCTCACTTTATTACAATTAAACTTTTGAAAAATTATTTACCAATGCAAGTTGATCTTACATGATGAAGTGCATAGAATCAAATCCATTTACTAGAGCACAAGAATTAGATTAAAACTGTTTTGGTGTTTTAAGAAACATTTAAAACAAATTAATATTCTAGTGAATTATTTCCGAGTCCACAAAAATCCTTAAAATATTGTACAAACGAAGTGGAAGGAGATAGAGTTGTTGATATTATTGCTAGTGGTGAAGATAATATGTTTCGAGAGTTTCTAAGTCGATTCAAACAAATTAAAGATAAAAAGATCAATTTCTCACTTTGAAATGCATTGATTGATTATTATCGAGAAAGTGTATTAATACCGATGGTTAGATAACGTTTACTTTGTTTTATTAATTTTGTTTTTTATAATAAAATGTTTGGCTTAAATAATTTTATAATTTTTTGACTTTTTAAAAAAAGTTATAATTAATTAGTTAACTTTCAACATTTGTAAGTAAAATTGTTAATTGTATAAAAATATTTATTTTTAGAAAAAATAGGAGAATAGATTAGAGAGAAACTCATATATTTTATCAAAACATAAACATGACCAATTGATAAAATGTTTGGTCCAACTATTTATTACCCATGTATTAGTCATTTATATTAATAAGAATAAGTATTTTATATTATTGATAAATGATTAAAACACAAATATAATAAAAATAGATAAATAGAAAAATTATTTTTTTCAAAAAAATTTAAAACATAAATTTTAAAGATGGTTTAAAATTTAGTCAATATTATAAAAAGAGAAATAGAGAAATACATTGGAAATGGTGCAAGTCCAATAGTCAACAATGCAGCTACTACAAAGTTGTAGTTATGTAAAATTGACACATGAAATACACAGTGTACTTGGTCGGTGGTAGAGATAACCTACAGTTACAGGGTCTAGAATTGGTTTCTGGTTAAGTCTTAACCAAAATAGCAATGATAAGTGACACTTCCGCTGGGAGCCTAGGAAAACTCGTGGTTCTGGTGAGAAATTGGGAAAACATCAGGATATGCTTTTTACCCTGAATATTCAGTAAGTTTTGCGTAAAAATGATCTTTTCAAGCGTTTTGAGGACTATGAAAAGTTGAAAACAGCTGGTTGAATCTTCATTAACCGGACCGGTCCGGTAGGAATTTGATAATTTTGAAACGATTTAGCCTAAACCAACTCTGGTATTTTGAACCAAGCCACGAACCATACCCTTAATTACGAAAATTAATACCGGTCCTCAACTATATCGGTTTGCTCTTAAACCGGAGTACTATATAAACGTATATCTGGTTTACTTATTTTTTTTCTTTTCCCAAATCGTCGTCTCGTCTATCTGAGTTTCTCCGTCTCTTTCTACGGCGAGCTTTCGATCGTTCGCGGTAAGCTTCTAACCTTCATCTCTCTTATCTTGAATCGTTCCTTTCTCAATACCTTCGCATATCTCAGTACTTTCCATTGACATCTCGATTTCTAGGTTCGTCGAATCGGATTTTGTTGCAATTTTGTTTTCTCTCAGTAATAGTAAAATCTTTGTAGGTTAGGGTTTACGAGTATTGTTTGGGACTTGGTAGGTTGAGAAACGATTAGCCGCTATTTTTAGTCAAGAGTGTGTATCTGCTCAGATTTTCGCCACTATGATAGTTTTTGTAACCCTAATTGCTCGTTGTAGTTTCTGTTTCTGAGTTTTTTGTGATTAGGTCTTGATTGAATTTTCTTGGATTCGTTTAGGCGTTTGAGGATGGAGGTGGAGAAGTCTAAATCAAGGCACGAAAGCAGGGAAGAGAGGGGTGATAATAAGGGGTCGCCTGCTAGAGAAAGCAGAGATGGAAGGAGGAAGGAGAAGGATCATAGGAGCAAAGATAAAGAAAAGGACTATGACCGTGAAAAGAACAGGGAGAAGGAGCATCGAAGAGAGAAGGATAAAGAAAGGGACCGGAAGAGGGATAAAGAAGGAGATACTGAGAAGGAAAAGAGCAGAGATTGGGATAGAGAGAGGGATAGGGACAGAGATCGTGTGAAAGATAAGGAGAGGGAAAAAGAAAGAGATAAACATAGAGACAGAGAAAAGGATAAGTCGAAAGAGAAGTCTAAGGAAAAGGAGAAAGAAGCGTACAAAGACAAGGATAGGTCAAGAGTTAAGGATAGATCGAGTAAGAAAAGCCACGAGGATGATGATGAGACTGAAAAACCTGCTGAAAGATATGACCATTATGACAACAGAGGTTCGAATGAAGGTGAGGATAATGCTGATGCTGCACCAAGTGGGAAAGAGCAATCTGCAAAGGAAGTTGAGGATCGCATTAAGCAGTAAGTGATTCGTTCTTTGTGCTGTTAACAGTTTATTTTTTAAGTTACTTATTTCAAGTATTTTAACATTTGATAATTGAGAATGTTTTCCCTTGCAATATGATTATTGAGTAAGTCATATTCTCGGCATCCTATTTGTCATCTTTCTCGGTTTGTTTGCTTGATGCTGTGAACATACTGTATTATTAACATCTCTAGCATATAATATATAAGGTATAAAGAACATCAATTTGCTGATATTGATTCTAGGCTGGCAATGCTGCTGTTTGGTATGCTAGTAACTGATTAGTCAGATTTAGTAAGAAGTATGACTTTTTTTGTATATCCTATGAAAACTTTTTATTGTTATATAGTCTTAGATATCGCTGGTAGGTCTAAGTCTGTGTTTATTTCTCGTGTCATATGAATTTAGATATATGAATAATCACGTATTAAAAGACATTTTTGTTTTCTATCTCAGGATGAGAGAGGAAAGAAAGAAGAAAGCTGAAGAAGCTTCGGATGCTCTATCATGGGTTGCAAGGAGCCGTAAGATCGAGGAAAAAAGAAATGCTGAGAAGCAAAGAGCTCATCAGATGTCGAGAATTTTTGAGGAGCAGGTGTTTCCTCTACGCCTCTGACATATTTGTATCCTTTTATTTATCCTTAACTTACTTCTTTTTTGACATTTATCATCTATCATATGTTATATTTTTATAGGACAATCTGATTCAAGGTGAAAATGAAGACGGCGAGGATGGTGGTAAGTTTTGCTTTACTCGAATTTATATAGATGTAGGATGCAAACAGCTATCGATTATAGATATGAGATGAGAGAGATGTATCGGGTTGATGCTTCTATAACAACATACTTTGCAGTTCTCTGATTCTCAGACACCTAATTATCAATCTTCAAAGGGATTACTTATAAACTACTAGGATTAAGTATAATGATTCAAGTGTATTATCAGACATTTATATATTCTGTCTGCATCATGCGTTCTAGTTAATAATTTTCTTAACTTATTCTGGTTAACAGATCATCTGTCTGGTGTTAAAGTTCTCCATGGTTTGGAGAAGGTGGTGGAAGGTGGAGCAGTTATCTTGACACTAAAAGACCAGAGTGTCCTTGCCGATGGAGATGTCAACAACGGTTAGTATCTCTCAATGCTCTCCTTTGTTAATGTTATCAACTTGCTAGATGTGAGGGTTTGTCATAAACGAGATCTGCACCTTTTCTGGCAGAGATTGACATGCTGGAAAATGTGGAAATTGGAGAACAGAAGCGTCGAAACGAAGCTTATGAAGCAGCCAAGAAGAAAAAGGGGACGTATGATGATAAGTAAGTTAAAGTATATTTCAGTGCCATTTAAATGAGCATCTCTGTGTTACTTAGGATTGAAACCTAACAATGGTATTGACTTTTGTAGGTTTAACGATGATCCCGGGGCAGAAAAGAAGATGCTTCCGCAGTATGATGAGCCCGCTACAGATGAGGTAAGTTAGGATTTCAAATACCAGAATTCTAGTCACTGCTATGGGTGAAATGACGTTGCTGCTTTCATCTTCAGGGGGTATTTTTGGATGCAAAGGGTCGCTTTACTGGTGAAGCAGAGAAGAAGCTGGAAGAGGTACCTTATTTTCCCTTACAGTTTTAATGATTACTGGATTCCTAGTCAGTATTCGCTAATGTAATTCATTTTCCTTTCATGTTCGACCTATCAGCTGCGTAAAAGAATCCAGGGGCAAACGACACATACTTTTGAAGACCTTAACTCGTCAGCAAAGGTCTCATCAGATTACTTCTCACATGAAGAAATGCTACGTTTTAAAAAACCAAAGAAAAAGAAATCATTGCGGAAAAAGGATAAATTGGACATAAGTGCGCTCGAAGCAGAAGCCATTGCATCAGGATTGGCAGCTGAAGATCTTGGTTCTCGCAAAGACGGCAAAAGGCAGGCCTTGAAAGAAGAGAAAGAAAGGTCTGAGCACGAAAAACGGAGCAACGCCTATCAGACCGCCATTGCTAAAGCTGATGAAGCATCTAGACTACTCAGAATGGAACATGTTGAGCCTACTAAAAGAGACGAAGATGAGGGTATAATGTTGGCTGATGATGCTGAAGATCTTTATAAATCGTTAGAGAGAGCTCGGAAGGTAGCTCTCACTAAGAAAGAGGAAGCTAAAACTGGTCCTGAAGCACTTGCACAACTTCTAGCTTCCCGAACTGATGAAACGGCCGATGATAATAGTGCCTCTGGGGCTGAAACGCAAGAAAATACAGTGGTTTTCACAGAGATGAATGATTTTGTCTGGGGTCTCGAGCGCGCTGAAGGTAAAGTATAAATCATCTAATGACACAAGTACACCATTTTATTGGTTTACCTTCTATTATATTTGATCGTTTGACGCGTCTTTCAACTTTCATCTGGTGGCGTGTGCGAACATCCGCCATATTCGTTCATGCAATAAACCAAAGCTCGCTACAAAAAGTATACCTTTTTCGTTAGAACTTAGAAGTGATATGTAACTTTTTTATCTATTTTTGGTCTTCCAGGTGCGGGAAAGGCTGAGAGCGAAGATGTTTTCATGGATGAAGATGAAGCACCCAGAGCTCCTGAAGAAGTGAAAGAAGAGCAACCTGATGCTTGGGCGGAAGTTAAAGACACTGAGATGGATGAAGGAGAGCTTCCATCAGACACCAAAGAGATAACTCCTGATGAAACCATACACGAGGTTGCGGTTGGGAAAGGATTATCTGGTGTATTGAAGCTTCTTAAAGACAGAGGAGCCCTAAAAGAGAAGGTCGAATGGGGTGGTAGGAATATGGACAAAAAGAAGAGTAAGCTTGTGGGTATTGTAGATGATGAAGGAGGTAAAGAGAGATTCAAGGATATCCGGATTAAGAGGACTGACGAGTTTGGTAGAACCGTAAGTTTTCCTTATTGTTCAGTCTTGTTGAAACTCGACCTTATGTGGGCATATCTAAAATAATCTGATCTTCAACTTTCACGTTGTGAAACAGTTGACTCCAAAAGAAGCCTTTCGACTACTCTCTCACAAGTTCCACGGGAAGGGACCTGGAAAGATGAAGGAAGAGAAACGGATGAAACAGTACCAGGAAGAGCTCAAGCTAAAGCAAATGAAAAACTCAGACACACCATCGCTTTCTGTTCAGAGAATGAGAGAAGCGCAAGCGCAATTGAAAACTCCTTACATTGTCCTCAGTGGCAATGTTAAACCAGGGTATATACATGTATATATATGCTTCATTACTTAGTGGCAGCTAACACTTTTTTGTTTCAATTTTTTTTTCAGACAAACTAGTGATCCGCAGAGTGGGTTTGCGACTGTTGAGAAGGAGCTTCCAGGAAGCTTAACACCAATGCTTGGTGACAGAAAGGTTTTACAGAATATCTTTTATATGATAAAATACAATTTCGTTTAATCAACTTAATAAATAGATGCATAAATCCAGGATTGTTGCTGATCATTGCAGTTGATACGTTTCAGGTTGAGCATTTCTTGGGAATAAAACGGCAATCAGAGTCTGGAAACTCGAATTCGCCAGCAAAGAGGCCAAAGCATTGAAGTCTACTTTTAAACAATCAAAAGCTCGTTTACTTGCTCCTATGCTTTTTCACACAGAGTTGTCTCTGGTAAACTCTCGCTTTCTAAGGATTATGGACGTCTCTGATCTTTTGTTACAATCTTTAGAACAAGACATATAGCTCATTCATGCCGAGACTGATGAATGAACAAATGTTACTATATCTTTGATGAAGTTGCAAAATCGGCATCGGTTTAGTTCCTGTTATTGTAATAAAGTTTCTCTTTAGTACGAAATAACTTGAAAGATATCCGAGTTGGTTAAGAGAAATTGAGCCGAACTAAAAAGATATAACCATTATCTTTAGTTTTCGTAAATAATTTTGAGTAATCGCCAATATTGTTAACATTATCACAAGCTTTATCCTCTCGTATTCTTCTTTCACTGTCCACAATTTTAATCTGCTTTTGTGTTAATCAAATAAAGGAGTTTCCAAAGGCCAAAAGTATACATCTTTGTTGGATTTTTCTTTGGAACAAAGCAATTGTAAGTGAATATGTTGATGTCGATCAATAATAGTTTCTTGAATGCTAACTACGATGATAATTGCGATGACAATTACGTTTGCAATATTTTTATGTTGGTATACTTTTTTCTGGTTAAAGGACTGTTTTTTCTTTTACTTTAGATCATTAATGTGAACTACTATGAGTCATCGTTTAGTTTCGGCCGCAAGATTAAAAACAGTGCCAAGATGCTGTAGCGCAAGATAAGTAACTTTTCTTTTTGACTAAATACTGTACTATATATTATTCAGCTAGTCTTTTTGTCTGCAAGTCAAACTCAAAACAAGATTGTCATGTTCGAGAGTGTGTATTGTAGTTCAATTCTTCTTACCCATCGCCAACTAAATTTCTAATCTTCAACTGTATTTGGTAAAACAAACAAAAAGCATATATAATTTTATCCAGAAGTAATCAAGTTTATTAATTTGTCTTAAGAGAGTCAATATTCTGTTTTATGCTTTGACTAAAACACAACTAACTGTGGACAAGCTTGATTGGTTTTGTTCGCATTTGTGTGTGCGGTTACGTTTATATAGTAAATCTTTCTAAATAAAATCTAAACGAAGAAATAGTTTTTCTTTGCGTTTGATACTGTATTTGCGTTTATGTATTATATTGATAACTGGAAAAGAAACTAACTTATGAAATTATTTAAACTATGTGAAGGTAGATTCTAAAAGGGTAATCACAAACAAGAATAAGAAAAATTACAAGATCTTTATGTATATAACTCTATGGACAAAAAAAAAACTATTTTCTCTTGAGATCCTTTTTCATTCTTGTTTATTCAGGGAACGGCCATGATTCCGAACACGTTTGCCTGCAAAACGGAGAGTTAAACAAACATTAGAGTAAGCCAAACCGTCAAATGACTGCATTCATGTTGTAACTACTAAATTTAAATTATTAAAAAAAAAAAAAAATGCATCTGGGAGAGTAATGATTGATCTTACTCTATGATATCTTTCCAGTAAGAATCACTTGCCTCATCATCAATAGTGCCACACCATGACTGAAGATGATCTTGTGTGAACGTGGAGTTCGATGATGAAGGGTTTGAAGTATCATGATGACAATGCTGATAATGAACAATGTCGTTGTTCTTGATCATCATCTGGCTTTGTTTAGATTCCACAGAAGAAGCCAGAACCAGTAGTGGAAGCGACTTATGATCATCTTGAACATTCATTTCTATTGGGGAAGAAAAAGAATCCATAGGATCATCAATCGTCTGGTTACTTACTATCAAATCCTCATCATGATTCTCCTCAAGAATATGAGAGAAGTTTTGATGAGACTGACCAAAAAGATTTTGGTTATCTAAGTAAAAAGATTGACCAAAGAGATTGTTATTGGTCTGCATGGCTAATGGAGAAGAAGATGGATTGTTGTTGTTATTGGTGCTGCTAAGGACTTGAATCATATTGTGAAACAGTCGGGTTTGAGCAGGAGTTGTTGCATCCATTTGCACATTTTGACTGAGATTCAAGAGGCTGTTGAAATTTGCGGCTGCGGTGAGAAGCTGTGGAAGAGCAGCTAAGAGGTTTAGATGGTCGGTTCTTTTTGGTCTATGGGTCACCGGATCAATCCCTATTTGGAGAAGTTTCTTTCTCAAATGTGTGTTCCAATAGTTTTTTATTTCATTGTCCGTTCTCCCAGGAAGATTACCAGCTATCGACGACCACCTTTGAAAGACATATACGAAAATTAACACTAGGAAATTGATATTATCCTAGTGGATTAGTATATGACAAGTACCTAACATTGGTTTACTTTACTCCATACAAAGATAGTTTCATGATTGACAAACGGCCACATACGTAGAGATCAAGAGAAAAACAATGTAGTAGGTGTTTCTATTATTATTATTTTATCCATAAACCATGTACTACTATATATTTCCATCATATATTATGTTACTATTATATATTGTTTATAGTTAATAGATATATATAAATATACAGGCCTGTTAATATATCACTAAGACATATTTATATACTAAATTAGAAGAATTAACATATAGTTTTGAAAACTAATTAAGGAATTATAAAGTGAAAAATAATTGATTACTTGTTTCCAAGAAGGGAATGGAAGTTGATGATTGTTTCTTCTTCCTCTTCAGTGAAATTTCCTCTCTTGATGCCAGGTCTCAAGTAGTTGATCCATCTTAATCTGCAACTCTTTCCGCATCGGTTTAAACCTGCTTGCTTAGGAAGAGCTTTCCAGTTTCCATGGCCATGATTTTGAATGTGATCGACCAATTTTTCATCCTCTTCTTGTGTCCATGGCCCTTTCTTTAGCCCATTCTCATCGCAACCTGGTGATCTCCCCATTTTTTACTGTAACACAAATGTTATATATACTTAGAAAGTATTCTCGAATAAAGTAAATAATCTAAAAATTTAGCACATAAATCAAGCTAAGAGATAAGAAAGAAACGAGCACACTTTCGTTAGATATTTTCCCAAATAGATTCATGGTTACATATATAAAAGAAATAAATTGTTAACGTGTGCATGATCATAAACATAAACATAAACAAGTATAACATACACTTATCTTGGCAAATAAAATAAAATAACATACACTTTGTATGTATTGTCGAAACTGTTGAAGATCACTTAGAATTCACAAGGGAGAACGGTTTTGAGGAAGGCAATCAAACTAAGGATCTTAGTTAATGAACCTAAGTGTGTGAGTATGATCTTCACGCTTTAAATAGAGTTCTTGTGTGTCTTGTATCGTGTCGGAAGGAGAAAATCTTTAGTTTAGGTTTTGACTTTAATGCCAGCGAATGAGAAAAATACCCTTGTGGAAACTTATGATATTATTTTGCAAGAAGAAGAAATACAAAGGAAGAGAAGAAGATGATCAAGTTCGTGAAGCAATGTAAGGTACACAAAAGTTGCTGCAACTAATCCATATGTTGACAAAAGGGAGTTTGTGAGGCCTTAATAAAACTTTTAGTGTACAATGAATATGTAAATAATCATAGCAACAAAAACAATATACTATATTTTCTAAGAAATGAAATCAAACGTCTGGATATGGTAGTTGATTATTGGTGTAAATTTAGTTTTAAGCACATCAAGGCACGCAAACTCATGAACCATGGATGGGACCCGTGAAAACCCTAGCTCTTCTAACAAACTAATTCTTACAATAATGCAATCGCTTTATAGATGCTTCTACGTTGTAGTTAATTGGTTCATAAAATCCCTTACGTGGGTTTTTTTTTTGACAAAAAAAAACAACTGGAAACAAAAAAAACCCCTTACGTGGGTTTAGTATACGAATCAATAAATATATTTTTATATCATCAATTTATAACAGTATGTTTCTGTTAGAACAGTGATTAATTTACTGTCATTCTTTAACTTCTGCTACGAACTTCACCTTTCTAGTTTCTTGCATCAAGTTACCTTATTTCTTTGTAATGTTCGAATTGACATTAACTCAAAATTGTTTTAGGCAAAACTTGCTTAAGTACTTAAGTTTGTCCAAAATGCACAAACTAACACCACAATGTATTTATACACGTCATACATATAATGAAAAATCAAGTAAAATTTTCTATTTTGGCCAAAAAAGTATAAATTTTTATCCATCTCACTTCTATTTACGTTCGGTCCAGCATCGATAATTACCTGACAGTATATACCATGTCAAACCTAACATCTTGAACAAAAATACAATCTGCAAAAATATATTAGACGTCACATTGCCATGCTTTTACGCAATATAAATTATATGAAAACCTGAAGTTAAATAATTCAATTAATTATCAACATGGCGAGTCAACTTGGTAGAATTTTACTGACAAATATTACGGATGTAACAGCTACTTTGACATACAATGAATATACAGTAGATTAAAATAAACTTAATTAAGATGTGATAACTCCCATTTTACCTTCCTCATGTACTTTTAGGTATGGTCCATATGGAATAAAATTAAAGATGAAAAGAGTTGGTTAAACGAAGACTTCCAAATCAAAGAAACATAATTGTCTTCTATTTACCTTCTCGAAGCTGCTTACCGTACGTTCGTAGAAATCATATATATTGAGGACTGTAGTTTTTTTTCTTTGAGGAAGTATATAAAAAGATTAAACGTTAAAAAGCTCACATAAACCGTGATGCTTGAGGAAACTTAAAGGTTCTAACTTCTATGCAGTCAAAAAGAAGATTATATTCCTTTCCTTCACCCTAAAAGCTCATGGGCTTTTCGAAAGATAGTCATTGCCGAATCTCATTAAAAATAAATCATTATTTCTGTAATTCTAAAAACATTAGAAGTGTATATATCATACACAATTTTATATGAGCATCTATTCATCAGAGATTTAATTTGTTGAGATCTAATCAGCTGTTTTTCTATATAAACAGTGGTTATTCATTCACACAGCTTTATAGCTCATAACTTTTTCTTTTTGTTTTTATAACAATAAATTATTAGTTATCTAATTAGGAAAAGAAACAACAAAGGCTTCAGTCATAACAAATAACTAGATTTTGACCCGCTCAACCGAGCGGGTATTTAATTTTCTTTATATATATACATATGTTTACATCATTAGTGGAATATATTTTAATATTAATCATATAGATAAATGTTTATTTACTATTTATTTGCCAGCCATATGTTTATTAATTTATTCTTATTAATTTTAGATATGATATTGTTGTATATATATATAAATTTTAGATATGTTAATTTTTTACATGTATTAAATAATGTAGAATGTTAACCCATTTTGACAACATATTATATTATTTTAACATAAATATATTAATATATAAATTAATATAATTTTATCATATTTAGTTCAATATATATGATAGATCAATGTGATTATAAAACAAATAAAAATATGATAAAAATTATTTTTTATAAACGATAACTAAGTATATACTAAGGTATAATAATATTTTTATTATTAATTAGGAAGTTAATGAAAATGTTTACAGAAAACTTTAAAAGTTGAGATCTTGTTGAGATCTTTTTTCAACAAATTTGTTAGAATTTTCAAAATGAAATTAGCAAAAGATATTATGATTCAAGGAATTGCATAGGTTTTATATTATTAGTCTTATGGAATTACATTTATAAATTTGAAAGGTAAGATCCAACTAAAATATCACACATTAAAAAAAAGTCATGACTTACATTTTAGTAGAATATATATTTTAAATTATATAATATAATTTATCAATAAATAAATATAGTTTGATGTTGTATACTATTTAACTTTATAAGAATGTATATGTGGCTTATACTATTATTACTATAAAATTTATAAAATTTGTATTTTTGTAATAACTTTTTAACAACCTTATTATATAATATTACTAATTTACATATTTTGTTTTATTTCTAAATTTGAAATATATGTAAAATATAAATTAAGTTGAAACTACATAATATAAAAGTAAATTTTTGGGATAGTGTTAAAAATATTTTACACAATTTTTAGTTTTGTTTATAAATCAAAAAGGAATGAAAGTTTTAATTATATTTTATGATAATTAAAATTTT